CCTCAAAGCCTAGTCTGTCATTTGATCAACCATTGCTTATTTTTTACTTACCTCCATCTCAGAGTTACTCAACATCTACAATATTGATATTTGGGGGAAGGTAGTAGAGGTGGGAAGAGAGTGACAGATGAAGAAAGGGAGAGGTCACTGGAAATGGGAAGGCCAAGGGAAGGAGACATTCGAGTGTTGGATGGATCATCAGTGTAGATATTGAAGCATATAAAAATGGTATCAGAGGTAGTAGTGAAGAGAAATAATGTGACTCAAGTGTTCAAAGGACAGGAAGAGCAGTTGGGAATTTGGTAGATGACTTAAGAATCAAGGGTCTGGGGCCAGCGCTGTGGCATAGTGGCTAAAGCAACCGCCTGCAATGCTGGCATTCCATATGGGCGCTCATTTTCCTGGGAGTAGGATTGTGTGAAATTGGTAACTCTCTATTTAACATTCTAAAAAGCTGCCAGACTTCCAAAGTGGCTGTACCAGTTTACATTCCTGCCATTAGTCTACCACTGCCATTGTTCGAACATCTCCAAACGTCGTGTTGAAATTTAATTGCCAATGTAACAGCACTGGAAGGTGGGCCCTTTGGGGACTTAAGAGGTGTTTCAGTTACAAGGGCTCAGCAAGGCCTGTAGGGAGTGGATTAGTCACGGAAAGAATGAGTTGTCACAAAATGAGTGCAGCTTCCTGTGACTTTGCTTTCTCAAGCTCACTCTCAGTCTCATGCATGCCATCTTGCCATGCAATGCCCTCCAGTGTGTTAGGACACAGCAAGAGGACCCTTACCAGATGCCAGCGTGTTGACACAGGTAATTCCTAGCCTCCAGAACTGTGAGAAATAAATTTATTCTCTTTGCGAGTTAACCACTTTGTGATATTTTGTTGTGGCAGCAGAAAATGGACTAAGACAATGACTTTCCATTCTGCTACAGTCTTACCAACATTTGGTCTTATCTGTCTTTTTCACTGGAAATATCCTAGTAGGTGTGAAACGGAACCACATTGTGGGTTGGATTTTCCTTTCATTATATGACCAGTGATATCGGACATATTTGAGTTTGATCACTGGCCATCTTTACAGGTTCTTTGGAGGAAATGTTCATTTTGATTATTTCTAATCTGGATGAATTTCCCCTTCCTTTGCCTGGCTATAGCCTCAAGCACAATGTTGAACAGAAGTGTTGAGAACAGACCAGCTTGACTTGTTCCTAGTCTGCTACTACACCTGTATTGCTACTGCAGGTTTTCTGTGGATACCCTTTATTTGGTTGGGGAACTCCCCTGTTACTTTTAGTTTTTTTTTTTTTTCCTTTGATGTTTATCATGAATGGATATTGGATATTGTCAAATGTCATTTTTCAATTGAGGTGATCATGTGTTGTTTTTTTTTTGTTTTTTTTTGTTTTTTTTTTTGACAGGCAGAGTTAGTGAGAGGGAGAGAGACAGAGAGAAAGGTCTTCCTTCCATTGGTTCACCCCCCAAATGGCCACTACGGCTGGTGCTGTGCCGATCCAATGCCAGGAGCCAGGTGTTTCCTCCTGGTCTCCCACGCGGGTGAAGGGCCCAAACACCTGGGCCATCCTCCACTGCCTTCCCGGGCCACAGCAGAGAGCTGGACTGGAAGAGGAGCAACCAGGTCAGAATCCAGCACCCCAACCGGGACTAGAACCCGGGGTGCCGGTGCTGCAGGTGGAGGATTAACCTAGTGAGCCACGGTGCCGGCCAGTCATGTGCTTTTTATGTTTTTAAAAATATGATAGAATATATTGATTGATTTTTGAATGTTAAACCAACCTGTATTTCTTTTTTTTTTTTAATATTTATTTATTTATTTGAAAGTCAAAGTTACATAGAGAGAGGAGAGGCAGAGAGAGAGAATGGTCTTCCATCCAATGGTTCACTCCCCAATTGGCGGCAACAGCCAGAGCTGCACTGATCTGAAACCAGGAGCCAGGAGCCTCTTTTGGGTCTCCCATTCGGGTGCAGGGGCCTAAGGACTTGGGCCATCTTCCACTGCTTTCCTAGGCCATAGCAGAGAGCTGGATCGGAAGTGGAGCAGCTGGATCTTGAACTGGCACCCGTATGGGATGCCAGCACTGCAGGCCAGGGTGTTAACTCTGTGCTACAGCACCAGCCCCACCAACCTTGTATTTCTGAGATAGACCCCACTTGGCTATGATGTATAATCTTTTTTGTATGTTGCTACACATTGTGTTTATTAGTATTTTGTTGAGGATTTTTCATCTCTATGCTACAAGATATTAATCTATTTTTTTTTGTGGTGGCTTTGCATTGTTTTAGTATTATAGTAATACTTGCCTTAGAGAGTGAGTAGGGAAGTTGAAAAGGGCTCTGCTTCATTGTATTTTTTGGAAGCATTTGAGAAGAACCAATATTAATTCTTCATTAAATACAAACTTTTATTTACCAGTGAAGTAAATTGGGCATGGGGTTATTTTTAGGATGTTTTAAGAGTACAAATTTAGTATATTTACTTGTTAAATGCCTATATAAGTTTTCTATTTCTACTTGAGTTAGTTTTTCCAGTTTGTGATTTTATATGTACTGATCCACTTCATATAAGTTATCTGATCTCTTTGTATACGGTTAGTAAGAATACTCCCCCATAATAACTCCCGTTTTTGTATTGCAGTAGCAACGTCCTCTCACTCCTCCTTCAGAAAGCCACTGCCTATCTCCCAGACTGTGCTGCCATTCCTCCTTTTGCTAGCGCTCCCACAGAGCTCCCCAACGTGGCTGTACTCTCAATATCCCAGTCCATTGGCTTTCGTGTTCTACATGCAAAGGCTTACTTATACAGGGCTGACATTCAGTTCTGACTTGCTACACAACAAACCATCAGGCATGCAATATGTCTTCCTGAGTGTTTACAGAGGCATAAAATCTTAAAACAGCATGCAAATGAAGTCCCTGCTTGGGAAGCCTTATACAGTGAGGAAACAGAAATAAAATATTGATTGGAAGATGAATTTACTTTTTTTCTTTTTTCCATGGACTACTTCAAGGCACAACACCTACTTGCAGATACTTTAGATAAATCCTCAGTGATAAGTTTCATCCTTTGATACATTTTCAAAAGATAAGCACACAAAAATTAATCATAACTGAGATAAAGTTCTCTCTATCTTCCATGAACAATTAATGGAAACTGAGGTCCTTTTCGGTTCAGAATTCAGGGTAATTTAGCATTATTAGTTAAAATGTACTCCCAGATGGTAAGTCAGAGCTAAGACTCTTTTTTCCAGGTAAGCTGATAAGCCTTCCTCAACATTAACCTTTCCCATCAAAACACTCAAAAATATCTTTTTTCTCCCAAAATTAGTGGAGTGCTCCCCCTGAAAAGAAACTTCACGTCGTTTCATTAGTCTTTGTCACACTTGCTTTGTCAGAGGTTTTGCTGAAGTAGGACACAGTTTGTTGAGGTCTTTATTTTCCCATATATAAATGATTTACAGAATATTGGGCAATAGATTACTGAGGCTGGTGTTCTCTCAAAGATATTCAGAGAGACATGGAATTCAAACAGATTATTCCATATGTCTGTGATATTTTTATTAATTACAAACCACTTTCTTTTGCTCATTTACTAAATTTAGTTTCTACGAGTAAGTTTTTTATAGGTTGGCTCAGTGTTCTGACCAAAAGAAACATAAATTAAGTGATCCACTGTCATGAATTTCTATTTTTTTTAATGTGACCTCAATAACTATTGTCAAGCAGTTTGGTCTAAAGAATACTCCAAAAATTCACTCAGTTTAACTTTGTTTATTTAAGTTAGGCTATTCCCTCCTAGATTTTTATAATATTATAAAGAGTAGACTCATTCTAAGACCTAATAGTATCCTGGCTTGGATTGTGCCCAAAGAGAGGTTTAAGGAGATACTTAAAAATGTATACCACTTTTTTTTTCAACTATTTTGCTTTGAAATTGCCATGGATATAACTCAATAAATCGAAATGAGGAAAACATTTATATTAGCATCAATAATAAGCAGGTTACTATTGCTTGTCTAGAACTTTGAGTCAGTAGGGCCAGTAATAATGCCTCCTTTTTAAAATAAGAAATCTGAGGGCTGTTGCCTAAGGTCTCATATTAGTATTCTCATAGCTTGAGGGCAATGTTTTGCTTTCATAAACCAAGAGTATATAAGAACAACCAGAATCAAAGTAAACATCTTCAAATAACTGCCTTTGAATGCTCAATAGATTTGTCATAATAATAGTAGTAATAACAGGGGCCAGCACTGTGGCACACTAGGTTAATCCTCCGCCTGCGGCTCTGGCATCCCACATGGGCACTGGTTCAAGACCTGGCTATTCCTCTTCCAATCCAGCTCTCTGCTATGGTCTAGGAAAGCAGTAGAAGATGGCCCAAGTCCATGGGCCCCTGTATCCATATAAGAGACCTGGAAGAAGCTCCTGGCTCCTGGCTTTGCATCAGCGCAGCTCTGGCTGTTGCAGCCATTTGGGGAGTGAGCCAACAGATGGAAGACCTTTCTCTGTCTCTCCCTCTCACTGTCTGTAACTCTACCTCTCAAATAAGTAAATAAATAATCTTTAAAAACAATAGTAGTAATAACAAGGAAACTCACCTTAGTAACACTGTACAAGTATATTGTGTTAGTTTTAGGGTGTTTAAAGGGTCACCAGTTGGACGGCTCATACTACTTGTAGATAAGGGAAACTAAGACGTATGCAGTTTTAGTGCTTTATGTAAAACTAGGATCTTGTATCATAAGATAATGTATAAATCAGAAATATGTTTCCAACTTCTATGTAAGATACATACTTTCAAATGTTCACCAACTTGATAATTCAAATCCTCACTGAAACTGAAACATTTTTTAAACAGGTTGCAAATTTCCTTTATCATCACAACAGGTAAAACGTGGACTCTATATTGTAGTCTGCAGTATGATAAGAAAGGAAAGTCAGTGAATTAGGATTGTATTTTTAAAAAATGAATTACAAAAAACATATAATTTTTGGTTGTTTATTCAATTCATCACCATTTCTCTAAAAACCAACAGTATATCTTAATTTAGACTTTACCTATTTGAAAAGATGAGAAATTCAATACTTTGAAGTTCAGAAAAAGAAAATTAAGCAATCCTGGTATCATCCAAAGGAATGCAAGTAATTCTATAATAAAAACATTTTTAAAGCAAATACTATATAAAACGTGAGATTTGGTTGCTAGTACCATAGCTCCATGGTCTGACTTAGTGTCATGCCCCATATCATTGCTCTTCTGGCCTTTACTCCATGGTCCCACTTAAGAAATCTTAATAAAGAAAATATGGACATGACTTTCAAAGGTATTTTTGTCATATCTGAGAAAAAGTATATTAATGCTATAAAATAATGCTTTAAAAGAGTCACAAACTTTAAACAAAACACAGGGTATCTGTAGCTTTAAGGCTCTTCCTGTGGGAGGAGCTTCCGCTTCACTGAGGGATCAAGCTCCCCATCCAAGTCATCCAGCTCCTGCTCCTTGGAGAGCTCCAGGAAAACCTGCAAGGAAGGAGCACAGGGAAGTCACTCCGCCTCCTGTAGCTCCAAACTAGTGCAGTGAGCATGCATGTGATGGGCACACACAGTCCCCGGATGATAGAGCATCACTGACACATGACGCACCTGCTCCAGGGTGGACTGGGAGAGGCTGTACTCCTCCAGGTCGAAGCTCTGTTTAGCTGCAGAAGGGAGAACATATGTTATGAGTTCAGATATTTTATATTCTTGGAGTTTTACCAGCTGATGCTCAAAAAGTACATGCAAGTAGATATGAAATATAAGATATGGTAACAAACATTCTTGAACTAAGTATGTGAAAGCAAAGGTACCATAGTCAAATCACAAAATAAAAGCACTATCCTGATTTTTTAGAGTGTTGGCAGAGGTGCCAGAAGACTGGAAAAACAGCTAAGGGATTCTGGAATACCCATTCAGGATAGGCTGAGATGGAATTGTCTGCTAAATACTGCCAAGTGCTCCTGTCCATATGACTGCGTTCTTGTCCACCTTGCTCTCTACATGAGAGGCTGACTTAAGAGATGTCACCTTGTGAGTTCCACCAGTGGCAGCCCTAGCAATAGGGACAGAGCAAGGGCTGCATCCTAATCACAGGAGATAGTCACTGCTTATTCTCTTTGTGTTTTTGGATCAAAGAATGATAAGAATTCTGCAATCCTAGACTTAGGTTACTGCACTGTTCCTTGTACCTTTGCAAATCTCTTGATATGCAAAATTTTCTTGAAGTATTCAATTTTGAGTACCATGTGCAATGAGTTTGGATATGACTGAGACTCTAAACATGTAGATACATGAAGAGGAAAATAATGAATGGAAAGCAAAGATTTGCTTTGACAGTTATCAGACTTCTGAGGCATTCCCTTTCTTCTCTCCACTGACAGGGATGTTATGGTTAGGCCCACATATTTTGGACATAGAACTTGGTCTCTAGCCATGAAGAAAAGAAATGCTATGGATTATGGACTCCTAAATTTGCAGAAGTGAGGACATTTTATAACTTTCTCATGGACTTTGAAGGGAGGTACCTTGAGGGGAATCACTGGAAGTGTACAAAGATTTCAAGGAAAGAGTGCAGGATCTTCCAGGTAGTCACAGGACTCCAAAAGATAAAGGCATCACCCACCCTACAGAGCTCTTGTCAGAGCTTATAGATGGAAAAGGGAATATTCTAGGAACCCATAAAATCACCCCATGAAAGAACAGACAAGAAATTGTTCATGTCTATACTGGAGGCCCAATACATATTCCAAGTCCAATGATCAAATCAATCTTTGCTGTCATATTATGTCTTCTCCATTCTCTTTACATTTACACTAGAGAGGCCCAAAACATCAGCTTATAAGTCATGGAGAAAAAACAAACAAACAAACAAGAAAACAGGTAAAATTGACCACCTTATATCCTTAGCCACTGGTCTTCAAATTCAAGGCAAGTTTGACCTGGGAGGGGCATATGAGGCTAGCATTTTGAAGAAGTTTGCAATATACAGAAGTGTTCTAATGGTATGGGAGAATGAATCTGTGTAGCCGGAAAACAAGATTACCATGGAGCATGCATTTTGCTTATACAATACTGCAACCAGTACATTCAATAAAAGTACTGCAGCCTGGAATATAATGGTATTTAATGACATTTGGAGAAAAAAATTAGCATATGTTTCCACATTTTGTACTTTGCAATTTTTTACATATTAACACAAGGAACTATGATAAAGAATTTTGGTTTTCCCTCTAAATGAGAGCCTCAGTTTAACCAAATCAAGCATAACAGAAAAAAAATTTGAGATGGAAGGGAATATTTTCGAAGGCAGAAATATTAATTTTCTTTTAAAAGATTTATTTATTTGAAAGGCAGAATTAGAAAGGGAGGGAGGGAGGGAGAGAGAGAGAGAGAGAGAGAGAGAAAGAGAATCTTCCATCCAATGGTCCATGCCCCAAATGGCTGCATTGGCAGGGGCTGGACCAGCTGAAGCCAGGAGCCAGGAGCTTCATCCATCTGGGTCTCCCACATGGGTACAGATGCAGAAGCACTTAGGCTCTGTACTGCTGCTTTTCTCAGGCCATTAGAAGATGAGCCAGGTTGGAAGTGGGGCAGCTGGGACTTGAACTGGAACCCATATGGGATGCTGGCCACCATAGGCAGCTGCTTTACATGCTACAACACAATGCAGACCTCAGAGATATTAGCTTTTTTTTTTTTTTTTTTTTTTTTTTTTTTTGACAGGCAGAGTTAGACAGTGAGAGAGAGAGAGAGAGAGAGAGAGAGAGAAAGGTCTTCCTTCAGTTGGTTCACCCCCCCAAATGGCTGCCACGGCCAGTGCACAGTGCTGATCCGAAGCCAGGAGCCAGGCGCTTCCTCCTGGTCTCCCATGTGGGTGCAGGGCCCAAGCACTTGGGCCATCCTCCACCACCTTCCCGGCCACAGCAGAGAGCTTGGACTGGAAAAGGGGCAACCGGGACAGAATCTGGTGCCCCAACTGGGACTAGAACCCGGGATGCCGGCGCCGCAGGTGGAGGATTAGCCTAGTGAGCTGCGGCGCCCAGAAATATCAGCTTTTAAGAAAAGCCTCCATTGTACTCCAGGGAGACATCTGCCTTTCTGTTAGTACTCCACTATAAATGGTTCCTGTTGGTCAGAGCCCACAATGAGAATCGTTCCCACTGAAATGATATAAAACTGGTATTGGGGCAAAATGGTCTGTGTGGAAATGGCTATAAGGATCTCAGAATAAAACTGGCCAGCAGGATAAGAAAGTGAAAGAGAATCTATACAGATGAACCGAACCCTGTCTCTCGGGGAAGAATCTCTCTGGGAGCTAGTGTGCTTACAGCCTCGAGTGAAAGCAGGTGACAAGTCAGAAAGTACTGCTCAGGAAGAGGCATGGGGAGAGTGTTCAGCTCATCATCTTTTTTTTTTTTTTAATTGAATGTATTTTATTAAGAGTGATTCTAACAGGAAAAACATAGTAAAATAGTGCCTTTGGTATCTTACTTGTAGCCTTCTATTTTCTTATGTTCCCTCATCTTCATCCTCCCTCATCTTTTGGCAAGTTTCAAAATTGGTTTTGTTGTAATAAAATCAAAGTTGTAGACCTCTGGCATGCCTTGATGGAGGGTTTTGTTGAATCTGTTCCAATGAAAAACAGGGAGGCCACCTTGTACTGTGGGACCACTAAGATTTTTACACATCCTGAGCAAAAACCAAGCCTATCTTGGACCAATGCAGCATGCATAGGCTCAAATCCAAGGAGCTAAAAAGTAGTCCTGGATTAACCCACCTGAGGAAAGAAAGCAACCTCCTTGTTAGCATCTGTTTCTATCAAAGAATACTTAGGGGCCGGCGTCCTGCGGTGGCAGCCTCATCTGCTGGTACCCATGGTGCCAGCATCCCATGGGTACCAGTTCAATCTTGGCTGTTCCACTTTCAATCCAGCTCCCTGCTTATGCACCTAGGAAAGCAGCAGATGATGGCCCAAGGGCTTGGGCCCCTGCAATCACATGGGAGACCCAGAAGAGGCTCCTGGCTTTGTCCTGGCTCAGCCCTGGCATTTGCGTCCATTTGGGTAATGAAACAGTAGATGGAAGTTCTCTCTCTCTCTCCATCTCTCTCTCTCTCTCAAATTCTGCCTTTCAAATAAATAAATCTTTTTTTAAAAAAATACATGAAAACAAATTTACATTTTTTTTCCTATTTATATGAATTTGTGGAAACCTTAGCACTAAATGTTAATGATCTCTTCCCTCCATGGCCTCATTCAATTAGGGTGAGGTTTATCAACCTTGGCAATAACAACAGTTTGGTCAGACTATTCTTTTTTGTGGAGGCAGATTTGTGCATTATAGGATGTGACAGCATCATAACTGCCCATTAATCTTCTAGATGGTAAATGTATCCCACCACCTCATACCCAGTTATAAGAACCATAGACATCCTCAGATATTGCCAAACCACCCTTGGTTGAGAACCACTGGGTTAGAAGTCTTAGTAATTTTTTTATGATGTAATACAATTCTACGTTTTTGTATTTTAATGTTGATTTTACTTAAAATTTGAATTTTTTTTTGTGTCTCAGAGTCTTGTCTCTAAATGGTCACTCTTACCTCTCTCTAACTTGACGAAAGCCTGAGATAAAGGTTGCACATCTTCAACAGGCAACTTGTAGACCAACAAGGAGGAATACCTGCAAAGAGGAGAGTAATGCTGAATGCCAAGTTTCAAGGTCACAACCCTTGATAGGTGCATGTCTAAAAAGGAGCACCAGTCTCATCAATGGTTTAAATACACATGTCTGTATAGTGCTGGAGTCAACCATAGTGTCTCTCCCTTGCCCGCAAAGGAATGACACTGCTCCCAGCTGATCAGTCTTCAGTAGACTTTTATTTAAACAGGATAGAAAGAGAAACCCTTGAGCAAGGGGAGCTCTGAAAGAAAGGGGAAGCTCCCGTCCCATATCACAAACAGCTTATATAGTATATCATTGCAGAAGCATGTAATGCAAGCTTAGTCCATGCTACAGTCCATGCGGCGGTGCTCCAATCGGGTGCCTGATCACGCACAGTCCCTGCGCTCCTTGTCCAACCATAAAGGTGATCACGCGCCTTCATCCAATCAAGCTCCTGGTCACGTAGCAGGCAACTCGGGTGCCAACAACAAGCTTCCACCTGGTGTTTTCTCAGCCTTGGTCAGTGGGAAAAGAAGTACGGGAAGCCCCAAGGCCATAGTTGTTTTGACTCTAGCCTGGGGTTATGGAACGGTCCTGATATCACAGCTCAACAGAAACCATAAACATCCACACAGCAGTAACTATTGCCAACGGTCGGCAAGCTAAGCCTTAGCATGTGGGCCCATGGCTGGCTCATGGGTCCCCACACCATAGTGTCAGTGTTCCTTAGTTCATAAGAAGTCAATTTACCAAGAAGAGGATTGGAGGCAAAGGGGCAGAAATCAAAACACCTATACCTCACAAAGGAAAGAAGCCTAACTATTTATTCTTCTTAGTGAAAAGAGAAATAAACCTATTTTGAGTAAGGAGAACCTGGTTCAGCTCCCGTCTCCATTACCAGTTATTTGGTCTTACCTAATCTATGGGAACCTCAGGCGCTGGTACTGATAATGATAAAAACGGCAAGGCACCATTCATTCACTGTACTTTGAGTGATGGCTGGTACTGGTAACGCAGCCTGGACTTTGTGCAGGAGAGCTCTTTAATGAGGGCTGGTTTTACTCTCTGGACAGGATCACTGAGATGACCCCAGAACATGCCTACATTTGTACCTTACCTGACCCATTGTAGATCACTTATGGATGCTAATTCCCTTACAAGAGGCAGCTCCCAAATCAGCACTTTGTTCTCTCATTTTCTTCCAGTGACAACCTTTGGAGTTGAGCCTTTCTCTAGTAATTAAAGTACTCACAATTATCAACGAGTTAAAAAAAAAAGAAAACTAAAAGAATGGGAACATGAGGTTATTTTTCCCTTATAACAGAGAAGCAAACCAAAGATCATGACAACACTAAACAGCTCCTGAATTTATCTTTCCTGCCGAGCAGCCTGGGGGAAAATCCTCAAAATTTCTCCATGCAGGGGCTCCACTTGGTGGGGGGTTTTCACTTTCATCTCTAGCAGATAATCTTTGCCAAATTTGCTTTTCAGGTGTTGGATGGAATTACCATGCATAAGCAGAGAGCAGCTGTTAAATATGGAGGTTCGCGGCTCTGCCATCATATGCAGTGGTTTCTGGTATGATGGCGGATGAGTCTAATGAGCTCTTGGAATATATATCAACAAAGAAAAGATCTCTGGATTCAAGGAATATGTTTCCTTTTAATGTCTTTATTTTCACTCGGTAAAGAGCATCATATAGACAATATGTATAGATAATATGGAATTAAGGTTGAGAAATTCAACTTTCAGTTAATCCTCTTCATTGAATACATAACATAACTGGTTAAAGGTCATTGATATATTTTTAAAGTTGCCATCCATATTCGTTGTAAGGTTTTGTTCTAAGCAGCATTTAGGATCATATTTCTGTGTTGTACTGACCTGCCCTGCAGTTGGTTTTGTGTCTCCAGCTATCATCTTAATAGTTGTGCTTCTACCCGCGCCGTTGTGTCCTAACAGCCCTATAACTTCACCTGAAAGAAACAGGTCTGCTCAGAAAGACACAAATAATTAACACAAAAATAAAAGCAAATGCCATTCAAATAGTCTCTGTGTAAAACACCACGTGAAATGTGTTACGCACATAATTTAATTTGTGCTTCTCACACAAAACTGAATGTTACTACCACCTTCAGTTTACAGGTGAGGAAGCTGACTTCAAGAGGACAAATTATTTGCCAAAGTCATGCAGCCAATAAGAGGCTTAGATGGAATCTGAAACAAATTTTGGTTTCAGAGCCTTAAATCAACACTTCCACAAAATGTGCTAGTTGTTAGGAATGAAGAAGGGACTACCATGCCTCAGTCAGTTTCCCTCAGTGTAGTCATCTTGTTGTGAAATTGTTACCTAAACCATACCATCCTTCTGAAGAAAGATGGTCCCTTTTGTTGTTGTGTTCCTTTGATGGTTTTAACAGAACAGGACTCTCCTCCTGTGTGAAGAAAGGCTTTGTTATAACTGTAAGCGATTCCTCTCTAGGAAGGAGCAGACTTTTCCTGCAGGTGATCTGGCTGCATTTCATATTTATCAGCAGGAGTCTCAGATTCAGATACTCCTATTCTCTTCATTTTTCTTTTTCCCTATTCTCTTTGAAAGACAATGTTCTGAGGTCACTATCACTCTGCTAAAGAACAGTGGTTTCCAACCTCTTTTAACACAGAAAGAGACATTTCTTGTGGCAGTTTTTCCTTCCTTTTGGAAAAGCAATTTTTCCTTTTGCCTTCATATTCTTTCCGTAGACAGCTGGCAATGATGACTGGTTTCTGTAAAGACAAGTGAATAGCAACAGGCATTATTCTTGCTCTGAATTGAGACAGTGCTCCATACTTCTCACCAAATTTTTTCCTACACAAAAGCATGACTTGAACCAACCCTTCCCCTAGGAACTGCCATTTTCAAGTGAGCTCTCCCAGTCTATATTCCTGCAGAGAGAGTGAGCAGCATACGCTGTGACTTGTGCACTTATCCCTTCTCAGGAACACACCTAGAATATTCACTGAACCAAAGATTTGCTGAGACAGACATGTGCATTCATATACATATACACACATGAAAACACACATACAGCTTAGAGAAGCTGTCCCCCTCTGAAGTGCACGAAGTGAGCATACAATATTACTTGGGCTTTGCAACGCTTTGCTGCATGTATCAGAACTATGACCCTGAGGAGTTGGAGGCGGGCATTTACTAGAGAAAGGTAGGGATTCCTGTCTCCCAGTGGGGATACCTGGGCTTGACATCTGGCTCAGGCTCTTGACTGCAGCTTCCTGCTCATGCAGCACTGACAGCACAGATGACTGGCTTCCTGCCACCGACGTGGGAGACCCTGATTGAGTTCCCAGCTCTCAGGTTCAGCCGCAGCCCAGCCATAACTGTTACAGGCATTTGGGGAGCGAACCAGTGGAGGGGAGCCTGCTCTCTCTCTCTCTCTCTCTCTCTCAAATAAATAACATTTTTACAATGTGATTCTGAAAAATAAGTTAACTAGTTAGTTTGTATGCATGTGTGTTTCCTTTGCTCCATGGCCTTCGTATACTCACCAAAGTCAAGTAATGAACCATATTTGTAAGGATGAAAGACTCTAAAACATTTTTCTAAATTAAGATTAGATAGCTGTTCATTTTATCTAACAGTCAAATTTATTTGATAATGGAGTTTTTTTAAGTCCTACCTCATCAGCATCTGGGAGAGTCACAACATTCGCTGTTCTCATTCTTTCCATCTGAACAGCTTCATCCTCTCCTTCAGGCTCTTCTGGGTTTGGAAAACATTGCTGCTTCTTGGAGAAATTCTAAGATCAAAGCAGTGTAATAAGGACAGGTTTTTGTTGTAACACTTGTAGTAAAAATAATGAGTTCTTTATAGACTATCAATTATATGGATAGATTAAGAGCACAAAATACTCTCCATTCTTTTACATCACCTGCCTTTCAAACAGCCTAGTTTCCATCACTGAGACAAGTGATGAGCCCTATTAATGTCATCTTTGCTCTTTATCTGAGCTTAATTTTACTTGTCAGTAGTGACTTTTTTTTTCCAAATAATAAATCAGTACACACTCGCTGGCAAAGGATCTTGAGGCAGGATTGCATGTGAAAGGTATCTAGAAATTATTTTTTTTCTAATTTTTTTTTTAATTTTTTGACAAGCAGAGTTAGACAGTGAGAGAAAGACAGAGAGAAAGGTCTTCCTTTTTCCGTTGGTTCACCCCCCAAGTGGTCACTACGGCTGCGTTGCGCCGATCCAAAGCCGGAAGCCAGGTGCTTCCTCCTGGTCTCCCATGCGGGTGCAGGGCCCAAGCACTTGGGCCATCCTCCTCTGCACTCCTGGGCCACAGCAGAGAGCTGGCCTGGAAGAGGGGCAACCGGGACAGAATCCGGCACCCCAACCGGGACTAGAACCCGGGGTGCTGGCGCCACAGGTGGAGGATTAGCCTAGTGAGCCGCGGCGCCAACCCTTTTTCTAAATTTTAAATGAAAAAAAATATTGTACCACTTTTTTTTTCTTTTTTTCTTTTTTGACAGGCAGAGTGGACAGTGAGAGAGAGACGGAGAGATAGGTCTTCCTTTTGCTGTTGGTTCACCCTCCAATGGCCGCCACGGCTGGCGCTGCGGCCGACGCACTACGCTGATCCGATGGCAGGGGGCCAGGTACTTCTCCTGGTCTCCCACGCGGGTGCAGGGCCCAAGCACTTGGGCCATCCTCCACTGTACCCCCGGGCCACAGCAGAGAGCTGGCCTGGAAGAGGGGCAACCAGGACAGAATCCGGCGCCCCGACCAGGACTAGAACCTGGTGTGCCGGCGCCGCAGGCAGAGGATTAGCCTATTGAGCTGGGGCACCGGCCTGTACCACGTTTTTTAAAAAAATTTTGATTAACAATAATAGTACATATTTATGGGGTACAGTGTGATATTTCAGTGCATGTGAACAATCAGGATAATTACTATTTCCTTCTCTCTCTCTTTTTTTTAAAAGATTATTTATTTATTTATTTGAAAGACACAGTTACAGAGAGGCAGAAGCAGAGAGAGAGAGGTGGGGCGGGGGGGTCTTCCATCTGGCTGGTTCATTCACCAGATGGCTGCAAAGGCCGGAGCTGGGCCAATCTGAGCTTCCTCCCAGTCTCCCACGTGGGTGCACAGGCCCACAGACTTGGGCCATCTTTGGCTGCTTTCTCAGGCCATAGCAGAACTGGATCAGAAGTGGAGCAGCTGAGACTCAAACTGGCGCCCATAAGGGCTGCTGGCACTGCAGGCAGCAGCCCCACAAGCTATGTCACAGCACCTGCCCCACCATTTCCTTCTCTTCACTACTGCTTTATTATTGGATTATTGGAGCTTCTCTCTTCTACTTGCTCCAAAAATATATACTGAGCTATATCGTTAATACCTCTATGCTGTGTAACATTAGAAACTTATTCCTTCTGTATAACTGTAATTTACTATCTATTGCACCACCTTCCACATATGAGGGAGAACATGCAATATTTGACTTTCTGTGTCTGGCTGATTTACTTGACATAATGTTCTCCAGTTCCAACCATTTTGCTGTAAATGACAGAATGCATTTTTTTTTGCAGCTGAATAATATTTCATTGTGTACATGTACCATATTTTCTTCATACATTCATTTGTTGATGGACACTTGGCTGTTTTGAAAAGTACTAAAATGAACATGGTGATGAAAGTATGTATATCTTTGATATAATTTATTTTGGATACATACCCAGTAGTAGGATTGCTGTATCATATGACAATTTCATTTGTTAAGGAAACTCCACACTGTGTTCCAGAGGGTATGCACTAATCTACACTCCTATCCGCTCTTTCTCTGCATCCTTGTCAGCATCTGTTATTTTTTTTTTGTCTTTTTGACAATGGCCATCCTATCAAGGGTGAGCTGATATCTCATTGTGATTTTGATTTGCATTTCTCTGATGATTAGTAATGCTCAATATTTTTTCCATATAATTGTTGGCCATTTTTAATTCTTCTTCTGAGAACTGTCTGTTCATGCTCTTTGTCCATTTCCTAACTAGATTGATTGTTTTTGTGTTGCTGAGGTTTTTCTTTAATTCTTCATAATTTTGGATATTATTCTCTTGCTAGATAAGCAGCTTACAAATATTTTTCCTGTTCTGTCAGATATCTCTTCATATTATTAATTACTTCCTTTGCTGTGTACAACCTTCTGAGTTTGATATAATCCCATTTGTTTCATTTTGTTTTTGTTGCCTATGCTTTTGGAATCTTTTCCAAAAAAATCTTTGCCTATTCATAGCTTGAATGTTTTCCATGCATTTTTTCTAGCAGTTTCATAGTTTTAGATATTACATTTAGGTCTTTGACACATCTTGTGTTGATTTTGTATATGGTGTGAGGTAGGGATATCATTTCATTCTTACCTACTAATAATAACATTGAATATAAGTGGATTAAATTCTAAAATAGAAACTATAATGTTGACCTAGACATTTTAGAATTCTGAAAGTTTTGTGAGAATAAAATGTTAGAAAATTTTGAGTTAGAGATGGGTCCCAGAAAACCTGAGCCATCTAATCACCATCCCAATGCGTAATCAGTTACTGAGTAGTGTCATTTCTTGGTAATATGTGTCACTATCACTCTTTCCTCGTTGCTACCCATCTATTTCTTGCCTTCATTCTTTCACCATTGATTATTGCTAATTCCTCTATCTCTCTCTCACACGTGCCACAACTAATTAGTACTTTAAAGTTAGTTTCATAAAACATGGTTGTCATCTTGTCATTCTCATATGATACCATCAACACTAGACTTGAGCTTGATTCATATTTTGTGCAGTAGGCCAGGTGTTCAAGATACACCTTTGTCTTAATTTCCCATTATTTAATTTGAGAAATCTTCCCTAAGTTTCCCTAGTTCAAGATTTTCCAACATCTACCTTCAACTTCATTTCCTGATATCATGCAACGTAAGATTTCAAATTTTTCCGGTTGCCTTCTTATATCTACAGAAATAGGGTATTTAGCTCAACATTTGTCAAATTGTTCAGACTATGTCTTTCCAGGTTTGGCAACACTTACCCAATTGCTTATCAATACTTAGCTATTATTTAAAAAGTCTACCTCTTACATGTGACATTCTTTAAGTATGTCAGTGCATTTTCATTCTGCCTTAATTTTCCAGTGTCATGTATACTAATGTGGTTTCTTGCACTATACTGTAACCTCAGAAAAGCACTACAAAATATAATAGTTTTGTACAAAACACAGCCTCTTAAAAATAAACCTGTGCAATTCTTTTTACCCATTAATTTAAGAACATTTAAATTTCTTTTAACAATGAATATTAAAAATAAAACATGAAATCCCATTTGAAACTTCTCAACCTGAACACAGGATCCCTTCTCATTGATTTCTTCCTAAAGTTCCTTTCCAGACATCGCAGAGCAAAAAGGAAGATGAAAAAATGAAAGTAAGGCTAGGGGAAAAGAAACAATAAAAATTAGCATCATCATAGAAACTTTTGCAATGTTGGAATTAGCCAAACATTTGATCATCTACAAAATAATATTTGACAAAATTTTCAAAGATTGAAAGACAATCTAGTATTAAATGAAACTCTCAAAATTAGTTTCATTGGTATTCAGAGAATGGATAGCATGAAAACAGTGGTAGTTAAGTTGATACTGGTCCTACTCATACAACTTAGAGTTTAGGTTTCACACTGGAATCAGATGATCATTGTAAAGATAGCATTCAAATTGAAACTCAGTGTGTATATGCGTTTGTGTTGCTTCAGATGGCCAAGATTTCCAAACCCTTCGAATTTGATTCAGTTCAAAGAAACTCAAGCTACATAAATTTTTATCTCTTCATGCAGCAACACTGAGAAGGAAATGTCTTCTTACAATTAGCAATGCCAGAAACACAAATTGCGATGCTGAAGTTCCGAGGTAATCCATAGAGTCATGAGAAATCTGTAAAATTAGGAGAATATGTGTTTAAATGAACTCTCGTCTGTTCATGTTTCATCTCAGTAAGAGGCCTTGTACCATTTTATCTTGTGTATTAGGTAAAAATTAGTTTCTGAGCATGCAATATGTCTTCTTGGCTTCCAGATTGTCTCAGTGAACTATCAACCTCCACCTGCCTACACGCTGAGGTCTGGGTGAGTGCCTGCAGGATCCATTGGATCCACAGGATCCACTGGCAAGTTTGTCTTAAGACAACCCTTCTCCCCTAAATTCACTTCTCTCTCTCTTTTTCCCTGTGCATGCTCCTGTTCTTCCCCCAATAACACGGGAATCATGACATTGCTCTTGCCCTCCTGCATTGCTTTTGATAATAATCATGACAATAACTTCTGGCTGAAGACAAGTTCTTTACCTGGGGTTTTCCATGTATATATAGAAGTACTTTTTCCAACTTCCCCCAACTCTTTAGTGAAGAAAGGGGAAAGGGCCAATTTTGTTTCTTAAGCTATATTTACCAAGACTTGTTTTCCTGAGCAATTTTAAATACTTTGCAGTAAATTTCTTAGCACCACAGCCAGCTACTCTCTGGAAAAGATGTTTTTGTTTCCACATTGGAGGCTTTTCAAGATCCTGATGTCATTTCAAATCATCTTATTCTCCTAAGTGCCTCAATCGCCCACTTCCAGCAATTACATCCCATCCAAATTAACTGCAGGATCCTGGACTCTGCTCTCTATGCCAACATATTTAATTTTTTTCAGTTTCCTTGCTTCATGAATTGGAGTTGGTGAATCTCTAATCCACCAATGTGTTCCCCATTATCCATAAGCCCCTCACATCCTTAATCTGATTGCCCCCTAGTTTAGAAGTTAAGGACCATTATTTAATTCTTCCTTATTTAAAACTACTGCGCCGCAGCTCACTAGGCTAATCCTCCGCCTTGCGGTGCCGGCACACCGGGTTCTAGTCCCGGTCAGGGCGCCGGATTCTGTCCCGGTTGCCCCTCTTCCAGGCCAGCTCTCTGCTGTGGCCAGGGAGTGCAGTGGAGGATGGCCCAAGTGCTTGGGCCCTGCACCCCATGGGAGACCAGGAGAAGCACCTGGCTCCTGCCATCGGATCAGTGCGGTGCGCCGGCCGCAGCGTGCCAGCCGTGGCAGCCATTGGAGGGTGAACCAACGGCAAAGGAAGACCTTTCTCTCTGTCTCTCTCTGTCACTGTCCACTCTGCCTGTCAAACAAACAAACAAACAAACAAACAAAAAAAACTACTGCTCCCTTATTCTTTTATTTGACAAACTTACTGGGAAAATTTCTAGCCCTGACTGAATACAACTATGTATCTGCCATAAGAAATTCTTAACTTTGCTGACTTCATTTCAAAAGTAGAGCCCGTGTGGTGAAATAATTTTCCGTATCTTCTATTTCAGGATCTCAATCCTCCTTGACCATGTCACTCTAATCTGATGACTTCATTTCTTATTTCTTTAAGAAAGTAGAGTCAGTCACAAGAGAAACATCTCATCTTTCTACCAGCAGAACCACTAAACTACACCTCTGCATGCATGTATTCTGATCTTGATAAACAGAATGTTCCAGTTTTTATGGACTGCAGCTCCTCCGTTGTGTACTGCACTGGTTTCTTTTTCAGCTATTCAAGGGTCTTACGTAGACCCAATTTCTTTTTTTTTTTTTTCACAGTAAATTTCCCTCACATGAGCATATAGTATCTACCCACTAAGAACAAAGAAAAACAAGAAAAATCTACTTTCCTCATTCATCTACAATTCATTCTCTGCTACTCTTCTTAGCAAAGCTCCTACAAACACTTGCCTATTCCTATTGTCACTAGTTCCTCATCTCATAGTCACTACTGAGTTCACTCTTTCTAGGTTTTTGGATTACACTTCAGGTGAAAACAACTTTGTTAATATCACCAAAGATTTTCATAAAGTTAAATCCAGTAGTTCCTTTTCAGTGGTCATCTTTCAAGATCTTTGAATTGTATTTGATGGTTTAATTACTCCTTGCACCTTCAAACATTCTTTACTACTATCTGACACACCCTTTTCCAAACTGGTACATGAATGTCTAAGGATAATTTCTGAAGAGATTTTTGGAACTTAGCTGTCTGCTTTTTCCCCCTCCCATTTCCCTGTTTCCTTCTCAGACTGATTTGCTGACTCTTCCTCTTCCTAAACTCTAAGTTTTGGAGTTTAGTTCTTGGACCTCCATTTGTATAATCCTTACATTTCATCAGTCATTCTCATTTTTATTCACATTCTTATTCTGTAACTTATAATAACCGGTTCCATGGCTTTAAAACCATCTATAAACAATATTTGTTTTAGTCCCATTCTCCATACACTCTGACACATTGAATGCTAGCCTTATGTATCCAATAGACATTTCCTTTTGTGTGTCTGTTAGTATCGAAACAAAAAATAGGCATCTCTTTGGCTCCATAATAGGGGTCCCAGAAATGAGGATTACCATGAGAACTAGAAAATGTTACTTCCCTGTAGTTGCCTTTGACCTTCAAAAACCAAGGCAGGGCTTCCTACCAAATGGGAATATTCCACCTTGCTGTGGTAAGAGACTGGGATTTCTATTCAAAACTTTCTTCAATGGCCATGATTTTAATGATGCAGGACAGGATTGGCATTGCTTACCTCTGAGAAAATTAATAGAGAGCCAGTCAGTGTGAAGGGTGGTATTAATATGGTGGTGAAAAGTAGTCCTAAAAATCCATATTCATTGAGATCTGTGGCAACTAACGAAAAGATGGTAATCTAAAATAAAAGCACAGAACAATATCACTGCAATGATCTGAAGTACAACATGTTTTCCAAGAGGGTAAGTGTTCATCTCATTAATGTTCTCTTAAATTTGGATCTCTCTCCTCAAGTCAATATTTCCACTGTATTTTTCTCTTTGGTGTTATATATTCTACAGATTTGGACAAATCTATAATGATATATACCCACTGTTTTACTTTTTTAAAGATTTCTTATATATTTGAAAGGCAGTGATACAGAGAGAGGGACACACACACACACACACATACACACACAGAAATATCTTACATCTGCTGGTTCACTCCCCAAGTGGCTGCAACAGCTGGGGATGGACCAGGTCAAAGTCAGGACCCTAGAACTCCATCCAGGTCTTCCACACGGATGCAGAGGTCAACACTTGGGCCATATTCTTCAGCTTTCCCAGTGCATTAGAAGGGAGCTGAGACTTGAACTGGCTCCCATATGGCCAACAATGTTTATTTATCTATTCAACTTCTGGAACATACATACTGATTGCTTCCACGTTTTGGTCACTGCAAATGAAGTTACTATAAATACCTGTATGCAGGTCTTTGTGTGAATTGAGTGAACACAGCTTATAATAACTGCATTGCTTTAATTTGTATTTGAGATATCTAACCTCTCTGATTATAGCTTCTCTAGATATAATTTTGGAGGACAGAGATTTCATTCACAGTGCTTCAGATAAATGATAACTGAAACAGAGAATTATAGGAGACAAATCTGATGTTCACTTAAATTCTTTTCTGTTTGGTTTCCATTTACTTCTTGGATGTTTTTATTTTGAAATTTCATATTTTAATTAGTATTAATCATTCAATAATAGTTATTTTCTTTATTAGAGGACATTTTATTATATTATAGCTTAATATGTAGAATTATAATAGAATTATATCATTAAAAATGATACATATAAAGACTTAATGGATTCATTAAATGAAAATATAATTTATTCTTTTATTAGATTGGTTTTGTCTGCATGTATATTTTTCATTATTATTTTGCTAATTTGAGATTATTTTAATCCTTTATTTTACATCTATAATTAGATTTTCCATTTTTTAAAGTCACTATTAGTTCTGCAATTAAATGACACTTTAACGTGTTTATGTTGCTCAAAATATCTTCTTCTCATACAGGATATTTTATCATCCTTAAATTGACCTTTTATCTTATTAAATTTATACTTTTTTCTCAAATCTTTTACAGAAAAGTTCTAATGAAAGTTTTATCCTACGTGTTTTTTCTTTTTTTCTTTTTTATTTATTTTTTTATTTGACAGGTAGAGTTATAGACAGTGAGAGAGAGACAAAGAGAAAGGTCTTCCTTCTATTGGTTCACTCCCTAATGGCTGCTATGACCGGCGCTGTGCCAATCTGAAGCCAGGAGCCGGGTGCTTCCTCCCGGTCTCCCATGCGGGTGCAGGGGCCCAAGCACTTGGGCCATCCTCTGCTGCCCTCCTGGGCCACAGCAGAGAGCTGGACTGGAAGAGGAGCAACTGGGACTAGTACCCAGTGCCCCAACCGGGACTAGAACCCCAGGGTGCCAGAGCTACAGGAGGAGGATTAGCCAAGTGAGCCACGGCACTGGCCTATCCTACATGTTTTTAAAATGTTTAATTAATTAATATTATTTGTTTGAAAGGCAGAGTGAGAGAATCCCTCATCCACTGATTCTCCTCCCAAATGCCCACAACTTTCAGGGCTGTGCCAGGTGAAAACCAGAAGCCAGGAATCAATTCATGTCTCTCACATGGGAGGCAGGGACCAAAGTACTTGAGCCATTATCTGCTGCCTCTCCGAGTGCACATTAAGTAGGAAGCTGGAATTGGGAGTAGAACTGAAATTGATACTAAGGGAATCCAATATGGGATGCAGGCATCCCAAACAATGTCTTAGCTGCTGAACAAAATGCCTACCACTATTCTGAATCTTTTGTGGGATATTATGTTAATTTGTTTCACTTGTAGTTGTTATTGCTGTTCCTTTTGCCTTTGTAAATTTATATTGTCATGTGTGTTTAGAGAGTTGTCATGGGCTATCTTTTTATCTTGGATATTTCTTACTCAATAAGTTTAAGGCATTATCTTGGATATTTCTAACATATGCAACCTCATCCATATCTTCTATTTGCTCTGATAGGTATTTACGATTTCTTTAAAACACTCTTTTTTCATGTATATCTTCTCTTCTGAATGCAATAATGCCTAGGGGCACAGATGGATGCTCAGCTTGGTCCATTCTTAGCCTGATTATTTTCTTCTGTGAGTTACACCTGTGTTTTTCATTAGTTTTCTATTTACCCAGTAGGCAGTGCATCAAAGATGCACTTGACAAAGATGTCAAGACATTGGCATACTGTAAGACCTTGGCACACACCAATTCAGCTCAGATCTTGTAGAATAATATGCCCCTGGCATCCATCCTCTCTGTGTAAGGCATCATTCTCCCAAGAGTTTTTATTAGTTCTCTGGTCTAATAGCAATATTTTAGTCAACATATCTAATCAAATTCAACTTTAAAAATGTTTAACTTAAATCTCTATATATTAGCTCATTTTTTTTTATACCTGATCTTTCAGTTCTGAAACAGGCAAGTTGTAACTTTAGAGGTGATTGTGTTAAGTATTTTTACTGTGGGGGCCAGCACTGTGGCTTAGAAGGTTAAGCCTCCACCTGCAATGCTGGCACCCTATATGAGTGCTGGTTCGAGTCCTGGCTGCACCACTTATGATCCATCTCCCCACTGATGTGCCTGAGAAAGCAGTGAATGATGGCCCAAGTACTTGGGCCCCAACACCCATATGGGAGACAGGGAAGAACCTCCTGGCTCCTGGCATTGGCCTGGCCCAGCTCTAACCATTACTGACATTTGGGGAGTGAAGCAGTGGATGGAAGATCTCCTTTTATTTTCTTCTTTTTCTGTATTGCCTTTCAAATAAATAAATAAATCTTTTATAAAAAAGTATTTTTATTGTCATATATTGTTTGTGAAGCAAAATATAAGTTGTCTTGCTCACAGAGTTCACATTTTGTCAACCTACCCTTTTTTAATCTAAGACGTTTGGAATCAAATTTGACTTTATCTGTTATTGGTGTGGCCATCTCCAATTTTCTGTATTTAAAAAAAAAAGTCTGCTAAGTCAATGTCTGTGATGCACATGTGTTTGTTGTAGAGAATATGTTGAGTTTAATGTTTAATTCAATATGAAAATCATTTCCTTTATTTTTATTTTATAATTTGTATTTTGTGCTCACTTGTTATGTTTTTATTTTTGTTTCTTCCAAATTTTGGTAAAGATATGAAGCATTCCCCACATAATCCACTGAAATTATCACAAACTACTCATGGTACAAGCAATTTGGAAAGCTCTTTGGCAAGATCTACTGAAGTTGAATATGTGAATACCAACCCAATTGCTGTACTGCCAGGTTTATGTCTCAGCATACACATATATTTGAACCAAAAGACACAAGAACATCCATACAGCCTTATTCATGACAGTCCAAAAGAGGAAGCTGCTTGATTATCACAATAATGGCAAAACACATTATAGAATATTCATCAATAGAACACTACAGCAATGGAAAGGAATTAACTATGATGGTAGTTATCAGATACAACAGCATATTTTCTAACAATTCATTCCTGATTAAGAGAAGATGCAGCAGCTGGCATTGTGGAATAGCATCAGATCACCGCCTGTGAGTGCAGGTTCAAATCTCAACTGCTCTACTTCCAATCCAGTTCTCTGCTAATGCACCTGGGAAAGCAGTGGAAGATGGCCCAAGTATTTGAGCCCCTATCACCCACATAGGAGACCTGGATGGCTTCCAACTTCAGCTTGATCCAGCCCTTGGCAGTTACAGCCATCTGGGGAGTGAACCATAAGATAAAAGATCTCTTTTTCTCTCTCTGTCTCTCACCTTCTCTCTGTAACTCTGCCTTTCAAATAAATGGATAAGTACATAAATCTTTCTTTAAAGGAGAAGATACAGAATAATGTGTTCTATGATTCCATTTTCATTAAATTCAGAACTAGCTAAGTCGATTGATTGAATTACAACTAAGAATGATGATTTCTTATGAAGAGGGGATAATGTTGGGAATGGGTCTGAGGGGCTTCTAGACCCTATCTATGCTCTATTCTTTTTCTGTTTGTTTTTTATGGAAGTGCTCCCTTATATTTTATTGCACTTAAAATATGTGTGTTTATCTGTGTCTAGGTCATATTTTTCAGTTAAGATTTATTTTTAAAAGATTACTTATGTTATTATATAAGAAGTAGCTTATAGGACTAAGGAGTAGAAACACAGCAACCAGGTACAGAGCTATTGCAACACTCCAGGTGAGGAAGACGAAAGCTTAGACGCTGATGTAAACATATAGTTGGAACACATAAAACAGACAGGGAAAGGTTTAGAGTCTCAGGGACATAGGAGTTGAATGTGGAAAGAGACAATGAGAGGAAGAAAGGACAATTCCAGATTTTTGGTATGTGTAACTAGCTGGTTGAATTTTGCAATGATAATGCAACCTATTAACAGGCAAGGAAAAATAAGATTAAGGAGACAGTGGTTTTTCAGATGTGTGGGCAAGAAGGTCCTTTCTAAATACTGAAGTGAAATTATAAGTGAACTGTTAGAGGTAGAAGTCTTTAGCTCAAGGGAGTCTCTCACTCTGGAGAACATTGACTGGGTCATAGTTATAGAGGATATATATAGCCTCGTATACAGTATATTTTATATAAGTCTAAGATCATCTTAGAGTGATCAGAATATTCTTGAGAGAAATATTAATTTACCATTATCATTAGTACAAAATTAAAACATATTCTTACTCATAAAAAACTGCTTAAAATAATATCTACCATATGTATACTTAAAATTAAGAAGAAAAATGACCAAATGCCACTATTTTTCCTACCATTGCAACAAATGAATGAAATCACGTATGTCAAGAAAACAAGAGATGAGACATATCCAATACTGCACAGGATCTGAAAATAGAAATATTAAGGTATTAATGTCGGATATAGTAAATCCCATTTAGGGAAGTATTCATACTCATACCTCAATATGCCAATATGTTATAGCACATTTAATTTGAAGTTCTTTGGTTTAAGATTAATGTTACTGCATTCTTGAAAAAAGTCCAAAAGAACATTTTGTAAATTTTGTCACTTACCTGAATTAGCAGGTTTTGAATTATAAATATAATCTCATCTGGGCTAAAAACATAATCTATTATTTGCATTAGGAGAAGTATCAAGAAGTACAAGGGAACATCCACCAGGGCCTGTCCGAACCAGTAAGCAGAAGGGTAGAGGCCTGAGATCCAAAGCTGGGAATGTATTTTTTGCTGATAAAGAAATAGAAGAACAAAAAGTCTTGAAAAGTTGATATTTGGGAAATATATAGTTATAAAACATTTATTTTTGTCATATCCCTTTTATAAATATTATTCTCATTTATTATATGATGATGCTACTTGCTTCAGAGGTTTTGATATTAGAAGGGGTCTTATTGTACAAGAATTTCAAAAACTTTCTGCAGCATTTCATTTTCTATAAACTTTTTAAAATACTGTTCTACTGTAAACTATGTTATGCTTTACCATCTAAAGGGAAAAATGCACTAATGTAACTATCTAGTGTTCCATCGTAGAATGACTGGACGTTATCTAAATGAGAAGACATCAGCTCTCTTCTTTCCTTTGATGCTGACCCTTGCAAATTGCACAAAGTTTCAACAGAAATGGGTTAACATTTTCTTGTAAGCACTGTAGGTAGATAGAATAGCATAATGAGGTCCTATAACAGGGGGAGTTGTAGGTTTGGGGGAGACTGGAAAGAAGCCAGGTATGGCTGGACATGGCTATCAAGGTGACAGTGGCATCAGCTCAGCATAGAAAGATACACCTTGGTAGAGATCATCTTTGATCTTGCAGGTTATAGAAACAATTTCATTTTTGTTCCTTTGTACTATGAGAAACCACTGGTGGGATTTAGCCAGGGAATTAACACAGTCTACTTTTTAGGATATTTCTCAGACATACGTTGTGAAAATCTGAGAAGATCCATAGAGAACAGTTAGGGAGGCTGTTGTGCCCATCCTGAAGGGAGATGATGATGGCTCTGACTAGAGTGCTGTAGAAGAGAGAGGAAAACAGAGATTCTAGAGCTATATCAGAAATAAATTCCATGATTTCACCATTCCTGGCTATGGAGATTGGGGGTAGGGAGTGGGGTGAGAATCAAGGTCATGGGGTCACCAATTAAATTTGAATGTTATACAAATAATTTTTGAGTACGTGTTGTGCAATATTTGGAACACAGTTACACTAAAAATACTCATTTTTAATCCAATATTGGTTTAACTGAATCTAATTTTTTAAATAGATCGTTATTTATTTGAGAAGTAGAGTTAAAAACAGAGAGAGGGAGAGACACAGAGAAAGGTCTTCCATTTGCTGGTTCACTCCCCAGATGGCTGCAATGGTTGGAGCTGGGCCAATCCAAAGCCAGGAGCCAGGAGCTTCTTCTTGGTCTCCCATGTGTGTGCAGGGACCCAAGCACTTGGCCCATCTTCCACGGTTCTTCCAGGCCATCAGCAGGGAGCTGGATCAGAAGAGGAATAGCAAGGACACAACCCAGCACTGCAGGCCATGGCTTAACCTACTATGCTGCAGCACTGGTCTCCTGAACTTTTTTTTTTTTTTTTTTGACAAGCAGAGTGGACAGTGAGAGAGACAGAGAGAAAGGTCTTCCTTTTTCCGTTGGTTTACCCCATAATGACCGCTGCAGCGGGCGCACCGCACTGATCCAAAGCCAGGACCCAGGTGCTTCCTCCTGGTCTCCCATGCGAGTGCAGGGCCCAAGGACTTGAGCCATCCTCCACTGTACTCTCAGGCCACAGCAGAGAGCTGGACTGGAAGAGGAGCAACTGGGACAGAATCCGGCGCCCCGACCAGGACTAGAACTCGGTGTGCCAGCACCACAGGCAGAGGATTAGCCTAGTGAGCCACGGCACCGGCCTCCTGAACTTAATATTACCTGCTTAATCCGATAACCCTAGCAGGAATAGCTCCTCGGTTTTAATCAAGAGTAAATGAAAATTGTGTATTGCTAAAAGAGATGAGCAAAAATAAGATTTAGAAAAAAACATATTCCTTCTCTGATGATGACTATTCCTCATGGGGAGGTTAAAGCTGGCAAACAAATGAGGAAAGACTCAGAGAACAATAGGTACTATGTACAGATTTTTTTAAATGAGCTCTGCGGCAGTGATAGTGCATCTATTTTAAACGGGGGAAGCAGTCTAAAGCTAAAATGTAACTTGTGCTGAGATCTAAGAAGTCATGTGTTCAAGGCATAGAAGAGAGTATTCCACCAGAAGGAAGAGCCAGTGAAAAGCCCAGGTGTCATTTGCATATTTGAGAACTGGAAGGAAGGCAAGGAGAGGTAGATCAGGAGACCGCAATGAGGAAAGGCGGAGTGGTAGAGAAGAGACAGATAGTGCAAAGCTCTGTCAGACAACCTAAAGAATTTAATTCCAAATGCAAAAGGAAGCAGCTGGAAGTTGTTTAATAAGATGATCTGATTTAAACTTATGAAAGCTGTCTGGTTATATTGAAAGAATTAAATATGAATAAGACAAATGGGTAGCTATCATAGTAATCAGATAAGAAATGATGATGACTTAGGCCAGGAGATAAAAAGAAGTGAACAGATTTGATACATTTTAAGTATAATTTAAAGGAATTAATGATAGATTAGATAAGGAAGATAAAAGAAAGAGAAAAACAAAGATAACTCCCAGGTGTGAAGCTAGAGCAGCTGTGGACGGCAGTGCCATTTACTGGGATGGGAAAGTTGGGAGATGAGAAAGTCTGCCCAGAAACTAAAAGTTTTCTTTGCTTATATGTAAAATATGTTACTCATCTATGTGGAGGTATCAAGTATGCTAATATAATATACTGTATAATTGTATAATATAATGAAATACATCATTTAAGAATGCTATATATCTGTGGAATTATCTGATATATAATTCTGGAACTATCTGAATAGGGTTCCAGAATGGAATCACATCCTCACAGAAACCTATTTCAAATAGATAAAACAATTATCTCCATTTTACTGATGACAAAGGTGAGATCAAGAAATTCTGATAGTTAAGTAGCTATCAAAATCCATATCTGAACCAAGGAGATTTAACTACAAACAAGAATAAAAAGAGTGTGGGGCCTGCAACGTTGGCTCCCCATATGAGTGCTGGTTCATGTCTCGGCTACTCCACAATTGATCCAGCTCCCTGCTAGTGCCTGGGAAAGTAGTGGAAGAAATTCTGAAAACTTGGGTCCCTTCTACCCATGTGGGAGACCCAAATGGAGTTCCAGGTTTTGGGCTTCAGCCTGGTCCAACCCAGGCTATTGCACCCATTTGGAAAATGAACCAGTGAATGGACAATCTCTCTCTGTGTCTCTCACTCCCCCTCTATAACTCTGCATTTCAAATAAATAAATCTGCTAAAAATTATTAGGTAATTAAGTGTGATAAAAAGCAATAAAAATGATAGTAACAAAGAGTGAATATGTGATCTTATTTGCGTTTCTTAGATGAGAAGTTGCTAATAATAGGTATAATTTTAGAGCACAAAGACAAATATATCAATGAACTTACGCATGGTTTCATAGCACAAAGCAAGACTCAGTTGATGACGTTAAGGAGGTGAATATATGCAAAAGGGCCTTTTAGGGGCACTGGAAGTATCGTGGGAAGATAGAGACACTCATGGGTTGCTTGAATTTTATATAAAAGCATCACACAAATCAAGCCTTAAAGGGACAATCCTTTCCTACAATAAACAGAAGTGCTGTGGTGAGTTGGTCAGGGATGTTTAGCTATCACCATCTAAGCGAAACTATCATTGAGGGGGAGATGTGATTATGTCAGTGGATAAGTAACTGTAATAAAACTCTGTATTATAGCACTTAAAAGTAGCCATTCACTGGTGGTTGATAATATCTACCAAGCCCTCCTTCCTGAAATCTCACATTAAATAAAAATAGCATTTTCTTAATATTTGGCAATTTATTATTGTAATGCTTGATCATTCCTTATATCAAGCACATAAGTTAGATACATCCCCTGCATTTAAATATGATCACAATGGGCCAGGAGGGTTTTCTGGATACTAAACACATTTGAGGACTTTTAATTCTTCTTACTTTGTAGTCACTGATGCTGCTCATCGCAATATAAGGAGTGAAGCAGGCTGCCGCTAGTATCCAGAAGAAGGCATTACTCAGGTACTCGTATTCATGAGACCTGTGCTCCTGAAATCCATCAGAGCGTGGTGAGCTGATGGCAATTTGGCATCTTGTTCATTTGTGCTTTCTCACCTGAATCACTCAAACGCCTTGATATAACCACTCAAAGGTCCTCCAAAGGTCCTACTCACATTTGCGATTTCTTACATTCATTATTAATCCTGCATTGCAGCAACTGTGGTATTTTGAATATGGATCCCGTTTACTTACGACGAAGAGTGTGCAATCAAGAGAGATGAATTGGCTAAGTTCCCACAGTTAATAACTTAGGATGGAGGTGTAATGGCTCTGCTCTCTGACTTCCCAATTGCATTCTTACATACACTGCTTACATACATCCAGGCTGGCTGTTGTAATAAACAATAGAGATTGTGGACTGTCACTGGGGGGCTATTATGTTACTTTCAGAAAATGCTGCCAAATAGTTAAATGCAACATTTATGGAGACCCATTTTCTTGGTTCAGCCTAATGCAGAAGCAACAAAGTCAAGTGCATTCAGAGACCTGGAAGATGTAAGAAAACTTCAAAAAGTTTGTGGGAAAGGAGATTAAAAGACAAGTTCATTTTGATGTATGCAATTTTGAATTCCATGCATAATTTTTCATCATACACATTTCCATGAACTTTTTGAAGTGTCCTTGTATAAACTAATGAGGAGGTAGATCTTAGAAAATAAGAATGATGGGGCTTGGAGAAAAATAACACACCTTCCACATAAAGACACTGGATTAAAAAAACTGAAAACTTTGTACAGGTTAGAGAGCATCTTGTTCTGAAATGAACCTAAATGTTATGTATGACCAGTTGTTTTACTACAATGCAACTCATCTAAATTTATAAGTTTTGGAGTCCTTTTACTTATCTTTTCTGACCCCTCCTAAAATTCCATGCCCCTCTGAGACCTTCCAGAATATAAAAACTAATTGAACCAAGATGCATATGTGGAGATGAGGTCTTGCAAAGGGGAACAAAAGACACCAAGGGGAATCACTCATTCCGTATCTTTTGCTTATTGGGGACACCATTGTTGATATCCTGATTTGGAATATTTCTGGGGATGGGAAATTCACAATAGTTTCAACATCCAGGACTTTTTCTCATAACTTGGTTCATAAGCAACATGTTATTTCCATGTTAGATTATGCACACCCACAGTCACAGTATGGTGGGACTCAGCCTGGAGAGACCCACAGAAAAACATTTGATACCATCTGGGTAGTTTAGTCAACTGAGAACTTGCAGGGGGCACTGCTTGGGAGCACCCTAGGACCTAAGCTGTGGAAAGTTAACGCGTGGAGTCAGAAACAAGTTCTGAGCTACAGGGAGCCCTGTGTTGCAGAATCAAGGAGCATGGGCCTGCAGAATTGTAGGAGAATGCCAAGAACTGGGTGGGGATCAGGGTGGCAATTCAAAGAGAAAACCTATCTACACATGAACTCAAGGTCAGCTACAAACAATACAGTGTAAGAATTATTTATAAATCTTTTATATTACATTAGATATTATAGGTAATCTAGAGATGATTTAAAGTATAGAGGAGAGGATGCATAGGTTATATGTAAGAACTACAATATTTTATATAAGGGGCTTGAGCAGGATTTTGTTATTTTGGTGGCATTGGATTCAATCCCTTGTGGATACTGAAGGATGACTGTAGATATAAAACCTAAATTTATTTAAGAATAGATTCACAAAAATGTATATGCATTATTTTACCATTTCAATAATTTTCCTAAAATTTTTAAGGGCTCAATAAAAGTGAGATAATATTGAATATTGTACTTACTTCAAAAAATGTGCTCTGTCAGTTTGAATCTGTTCCAAAGAATTAAACATTCCAAGTAGCCCATTGCTAATGATATCCATCAGGACAGGAAAACAATTCAGCCTTTTGGTATTACATGCTATTGAAAATCTGTGATCCTAAAATATAATCAATGTTTCTAAATTCTCAGAAAGCAAATTCAAAATGTAATGGTTATTGTAGAAAATAATTCAAATTAGTGATAATATAATAGAGCCAAAGAAGGGATGTGATTAATATAATCGTCACCATATTATTTGATTAGTTCCCAATACTCTTAAAGGAAGCTCACGTTTTGGTTCCTACTTACCATATCACCAGAAACATTGCTACCTATATCTAAAATCTCACAAAAAATATGTAAATGATTTTTTAAAACAACACTAAAAACCCCATAATGCAACTTTTATTTCATATGGCAATAGACTTTGTTTCAAAAAGTGATATATTCATTTTTTAAAAAAAATTATTTATTTATTACAAAGGCAGAGTTACAGAGAGGCAGAGGAAGAGAGAGAGAGAAGTTTTCTATTTGCCAGTTCACCCACAAATGGCCACAATGATCAGAGCTGGGCCAATCTAAAGCCAGCAGCCAGGAGCTTCCTCCGGGCCTCCCATAGGGGTGCAGGGGCCCAAGGATTTGGGACATCCTTTATTGCCATCCGAAGCCATAACAGAGAGCTGGATCGGAAGTGGAGCAACCGGGACTCAAACCAGCACCCATATGGGATGGCGGCACTGCATGTGGCAGTTTTACCTGCTAAGCCACAGTGCCATCCCTGATACATTTATCTTTTAAATAAAGGATGTATGGCTACTTGGGAAGCAGGAAGCAGTTAGGCATTTATAAGGAAAGCATTGGTTTTCACAAATACTGACTTACAAATAAATTACACACAATATAACATACATACATATACACACACATAGAGACTGATTATTTCTTTTTTAAAAAATATATTCTCTACATTGCTCAAAATACGTGCAAGCTTTGATAATGCAGTTTTCTAATTATGAATAAATCAAATGCACATTATCTAACTTAGTTACCTAAAGGAATGTTTATTATTGTGAAGGGTGTCTTTTTTAAGATTTATTTATTTATTTAAAAGAGTTACAGAGAGAGGAGAAAAGGTACAGAGAGAGATTTTTCATCTGCTGGGTCACTCCCCAGTTGGCTGCAATGCCCAGGGCTGGCTCAGCACAAAGCCAGGATCCTGGAACTCCAAATAGGTCTCCAATGTTGGTGGCAGGAGCCTAAACACTGGGTCCATCTTCCACTGCTTTCCCAGATACATTAGAAGGGAGCTGGAGTGCAAGTGGAGTAGCCAGGACTTAAAGCAGTGTTCATATGGGATGCCAGCATTATAGACAGAAGCTTAACCCACTGTGCCACAATGCTACCCCCAAGGGTGTTGTTTTTAATAATGATTTTTCTGAACATAATAGAAACTAATTTTATTAAGGGCTATCAAGAACTCATTAGGTTGACTTTATTGATGGCATGGAAAGTATTCCTGAAAATTAACTTGGACAAGGTACGATCAGGCATTATGAAGTGAACAGCTGTGATTTCTACATTTAGAATGAACATTCCATCTTTTTACATTTGTCTTCCACAAGAATCACTAACTCACTACTACAGAGTCTGGCTAAGCAACATAAGTGAGTGACGCTAGAAGAAGATACAGCAATCTAGAAAGTAAAAGACAAGTTAAAATTGGACAGCTGTTCTCAGCTGTAACTGAGAACAGAATTTAAGGTAATTGTATGGAATCCAACTGATTATAATATTAAATTACTAATGAGAGCAATTCATATAACTTCATATGAAATTAAATAACAGCATTTTATTGTATATTGTTATACCGACACTGTCGGCAAATAGTTGTAGCCTTGCTTCTCCTATAAAAAATGAGAAACATCTCATTTGCTTGTATCAAACTGGCCTGATATATCAATTGATATGAATGATCGAACATTGTATGCCCCAATCCATCTTCAGTAAAATGCAGAAATTAGAGCCCAAAATACCTTTGCATCACCAGAGACCATGATAGCACCATTGTACGATGATTCACCTGCACCATTTCTAATTCCAAAGGCATCCACGTCTAAAGCTATATTCTGTCATCTTAGGGATTATATAAAGTTATCAATGCTTGATCCTGCCATGAAGATAAAGACCATAGGATGCAAATATTAAATAAAGCAATCAAATAAAAATTTTTATATAGTCAAAAAACAAAATTTCTAAATGACATCACTCAAAGCATACCATAAGGACTATCTAAGAATTTTCTTTAAAGGCCAGAGTTGGAGCTTTGGTGCTAAAATTCATTCTGATATCATAAGTATGACAATGTTACTCTTCCTAGAGCTGAAGCATTTCCCTGTAATTCCTGTTAGTTTAAAAATATTAATTACTATTAATATTATGCTCCTCAAAGCTATTAATCTTTTTCCCAGAAGTTACCAAAAAAAGATCTCAAAGATCAGTCAATGGCTTACTCTTTCTAAAACCCCTTTGGATTCTTTGAGCAACTGTGTTAAGGTTTAAGTAAACTGTCAAAATATATTTTTAAAACAAACTCTTCAGTCTTGAATTCTTCAATGTTTAATTAATTTTCTATTTGACTCCATGTTTTCTAAAGTATGCAGAATTTATTTTTCTTCGCATTTTATGTTTTCTGGGAAATCTCAGCAAGAATACTTACGTTGCACATTGTGTTCATGTTTACCTGTTTTATTGATGATCAGTAAATAAATCAGAGGATCTTGTGGTGGTTGTCCTGGTGAGAGGAAGTACAAATGTGGGGACAGGCTCCAGGAGTAACTTTTTTGATATAATTCATAGAGGAGATATCCCAAAAGTTGAGGAAAAAAACTAATTCCAAAGAGCATTAACCTATGTGGAAGAAAATAGTAAAGAAAGAAATAATCTCTACCAACTTCTATAGGATTTTAAGTTTGACCAGACAATGGAAATAATCATAGAAATAAATTATAAGAACTAATTAAACATTTGAACCTTGCTTCCCCCTTTCTTTCTAAAATATGTTCCTACATATTTGTCTTTGATCACTCTTCCCTCCCCCTTTCACTGTTGGCTACTATTTTGGACATTTGATTTGAGCTTATAAAACCTGTTGAGAATCCCTCCTAATCTTTCTCTCCAGTGCCACTTTTTTGCTCCTTTTCAGTTCTGCATTTCTTCCTTTTTTATTTTTAACTATTGGGTTAACATGTAATACTCATACATTTCAATTTAGCTTAAAGAGCTCATAACAGGCAACCACACTTTCCATTCCTTCCTTCAGCTTCACATATCACCAACACCCAGACTCACTGTGCTCTGAACTTTTTCTCCATCCTGTTTCCCGGTTCTTTTTTTTCTTTTTTCTTTTTTCTTTGTTCAAGACTTATTTATTTATTTGAAAGTCAGATTTACACACACACAAACACACACACACATAGAGGGGTCTCCATCCGCTGGTTCACTCTCCAATTGACAGCAACGGCCGGAGCTGTGCAGACCTGAAGCCAGGAGCCAGGAGCCTCCTCGGTGTCTTCCACGTGGGTGCAGGGGGCTCAAGGACCTGGGCCATCCTCTACTGCTTTCCCAGGCCATAGCAGAGAGCTGGATCAGAAGTGGAGCAGCTGGGACTCGAACTGGTACCGATATGGGATGCCGGCCCTGCAGGCGGCGGCTTTATCCGCTATGCCACAGAGCTAGCCCCTCCAGTTTCTATAAATTACAATATTTCTCATTCAATTGTGCTTTTTGATCAATCATTTTCAATTCATTTCTCTTTTCCATTTGATTGAAAATGCCTATCTACTCTAAGATCATTATTGCTTGCCTCCAAATCTTCCTTGTTCTATTTTTCAAGTTGGGTCTTTTAAAACTCTTTCCTGGGGCTGGCGCTGTGGCACAGTGGGTTAAACCACCCCCAGCAGTGCTGGCATCACATATGGGTTCCAAGTCCCAGTTGTTCCACTTGTGATCCTGCTAATGTGCCTTTAAAAGCAGCAGAATATAGCCCAAGTCCTTGGGCCCCTATTACCCATGTGGGAGACCCAGAAGAAGCTTCTAGCTCAGCCTGGGGCATTGCAGCCATGTGGGGAGTGAGCCAGCAGATAGAAGATATCTCTATCTGTCCTCTCTCCCTGTAACTCTGCCTTTCAAATAAAAATAAAAAATTAAAAAAAAAAACCTCTCCTGATCTCTTTAAATACTGTCCTACTTGAGAACTCCCATGATTTGCATCCTGTTAAAGGTTTCCTCTGGTCTGCTTTAACAAAAACCAGGAAGAACAGGAAGCTAGGCAGCAGAAGAAATGTAAAGATGAGGTGGCAGACCAATTAATGGGTTGCTTTACACCGTGATCTGCTATCAAGGAGACCCAACAGGCCATTCCACTGCAACGGTTTTTGATATGGACAGCCAGGGCTTCAGCGGAAGTCAGCTTATGAAGAACTCTGGCAGCTCTGCCAGCCAAGAATTCTGCAACTGGAAACAGAACCACCCTGGAGTCGAAGGACTCCAGGTCAGAGCCACAGCTCTTGTTGGCTCTAAGCTAAAAAGCCCTTCACTAGGCCCAGCTTCCAAAGTAACCTCTGCTGTCAGGGGAGGCTAAGCAGGGACAGCAACATTGCAGGCAGGAACTGTGTTTCCTATTAGAGATGCCACCTGCCTTCTCTTCAAGCCAGCTCTCCTCCAGCTCAGCTAGGTAATGGAAGTCAACAAGGTGGCTTCCCTAACAAGACTCACACCTCCCTTATCATGTGCCCCATGTAAAGACATAGACAGGGTTGCACCTCCTAACTGAGAAAGCCTTAAAGCCCACCTGATGATTATCAAGCCCCTTCTGTTAGTTTCTATCTGCCTCTCAATGAGAAAACTTGCTTGTGGTTTAGACGGCATCTTTCTTTTGTTTTAAAAACTGTTATTTAATAAATATAAATTTCAAAAGTACGACTTTTGGATTATCGTGGCTTATCCCCCCATAACCTCCCTCCCACCTGCAACCATGCAATCTCTTACTCCCTCTCCCATCCCATTCTTCATCAAGATTCATATTCAATTATCTTTATATACAGAAGATCAACTTGGTATATACTAAGATTTCAGCAGTTTGCATCCACACAGATACACAAAGTATCTGTTTGAGTAGTACTTTTACCGTTAATCCACACAAAGTATAAAGTACTGTTTGAGTAGTAGTTTTACCGTTAATCCACATAGTACAACACATTAAGGACAGAGATCTTACATGGGGAGCAAGTGTACAGTGACTCCTGTTGTTGATTAGACGGCATCATTCTTAAGGGCTTTAATAATGCCTCTGCCCTCAGCTTTAGATCCCGTGGGTTTAAATTGCTTGTTAGATTTTTTTTTTCTCCAGACTTGAAAAAGTAAAATTCTAGGTGGCCATGCACATGAAACCTTGGATGGAAGCAGTTTCTGAAAGCCGGCACTGCATCCCCCTGGAGAAGCCACCTCCTACTGGAACCCTGTCTTGACTGCACTTCCCAGTGATGCCCCTTTTCAACATGAAACAGCCAGAGCAATCACTGTCCAGTCCCTCTAACAGATGTTAGGGTCCATTCTTCTTGAGGGGGGAATGTGAGGAGTCAGATGGGTTGATAGGCATTCAGGATAGTCCCAGTTGAATGTGGGATGTAGAATTCTTGCTTCCCCCCAAAAGGTTATCTTTAGCAAGAACAAAACGTCTTCTCTCCTTCCTGGGAATCTCCAAATTTACCATGAGAACAGCAAGGGAGTAGGCTTTCATCCCCCTAAACTCACAGTTTATTGTAAACACAAGTTACCTATCCCGCCCTCCTGGGTGGTTTTTTGTTTTATCATGAGCAAGCCAGGTAGGATAAAGGATCATGAATCAGGTCTTTGGATGGGTTTTGTCCAAGCCTGGTAACTGAATGTCAAGTTGATTCTCAAGGTATTTTTCTTCAAAATTGTACTTAAAAACCCCAGTGCCATGATGTTCTTTGGGTTTTTTTCCTCTCTTGGAAGGTCCCCTCCACACTGCTCTGGATGGAAGTCTTTGACTCTAATAAATTTGCTTTTTAAAATAAAAAATATTGTCCTAATGGATTGTTTTAATTGTTTCAAATGTTAACTATTTCCCAACAATTTCGCACTATTGTCCAATTTTCTTGACATTCTGATCTGTCAATCACCTGCTCAAAATAAAAAGAAGACTACATTGCCTCTTATTAGTCACAGCAAAAAAATTAGCCCTATTTAATGTGTTCTGAAAATTATTTTACTTTCTCACTCTATGTTGTGATTAACTAATTAACTACCCTATGCTGTAATTAACAGTTCTTTAACTTTCTCACGAATTTCCATACTTAATACTGCTTCCTCTGCCTGAATTTCTATCCTCCTTTTTATCTTTAGCTAAATAAATTCCATTCTCCTACACCAAATTCAAACTCTCCCTGAGCTTTTTCTTTGAAACCTCTCTTTTGACATCATCTCTTCCAAAATGCTACAGTTTTTAGGATCTTTTATTTTGGATGTTATTTATTTAGTACATGTCTAATCACCCTCAAATGCTGAATGTCATGTCTGATTTAGTTAATATACATTATAAGCATTTATCAATATAGTGTTCCACAAAAGTGCTCACAAATATTTTTGTTTCTTTTTTATTTTATTTATTTATTTGAGAAGGAGAGGGACACAGAGAGCATGCTTGCACAAGAGAGATAGAAACAGAGAGAGAATCATTGTTGGTTCACTCTGCCACATGCCTGCAGAAGCCAAGATTGGTCCAGTGTTAAAACCTGAAAATGAGAATTCCATTCAGGTCTCCTACATGGCTGGTAGAAACCCATTTTAATTGAACAATCACTGCTGACCCCCAAGGTTCCCATTAGCAGGAAGTTGGAGCCAGGAGCTGGACTGGGATTTAATCCTAAGCACTCTTCTGTGGGGTACATGCATCTTAACTTCTAGGCTAAATGTCCATCCTGCTCACTTATTTTTGAATGAATGAATGTTGTCAGCAGAGTGCTGATTTTATGCAAGATATGTAGTATTCAGTGATGAGGTTGAAGCTGTAGGGAAGTGCATGAATTCCTCAGTGGGTTCCAGTCATGGATGTGAAGCCAGTTGGCACAGAGCCTCAAGACTGTGATGTCGGGTCCAGTGCTATGAAGTAGAGGGTAAAGAAGCTGCCTGCAGTGCCAACATCCCATACAGAACCGGTTTGTGTCCCAGTTGCTTCACTTGTGATCCAGCTCCCTGCTAATGTGCCTGGGAAAGCAGCAGAAGATGGCCCAAGTCCTTGGGTCCCTGCACCCACATAGGAGACCCAGAGGACTCCCGGATCATGGATCTTGGCTTCGGATCCGCCCAGCTCCAGCTGTTGTGGCCATTTCTGGAGTGAACCAGCAAAGGAAGCTCTCTCTCTCTCTCTCTCTTTCTCTGCCTCTCTGTAACTCTGCCTTTCAAATAAATAAATATTTTTAAAAGATTGTGATGTAGATATTCTGCTTGTGTTTCCAGCCTGATGATGGTAACATTAACCCTAACCTGAGTTTTTCAGCCTGCTGCTAGTCTGCCCTATGGATTTCTGACCTTCCAGTCCCCACAACAGCATGAAATAACTACTTAAAATAAATTTCTGTATATTTGTTATAATAAAATCTGTGTGAAATTAATCTCAACCTTTATGTTTTAATTTTATATGTACATGAATAGTTAAAAATGGCTTCTTTCCTTAAATGACTATATGTTGTTGCTGGAGCTTATTTGAATTATTGTTGTATTTTGCTTTGCACTCTTTTTTTTATTTGACAGGTAGAGTTATAGACAGTGAGAGAGAGAGAGAGACAGAGAGAAAGGTCCTCCTTCCGCTTTGCACTCTTACTTTGAGTGCACAAACCAATTTTGAAACACTCAGATACTCACATTGCCAGCAGGCTTTTTCTTTCATTCTTTAACTTTAGGAAGCGAACTTTTGCTATAGCACAGAGCTGCTGCCTCCAGAGAGCCATGCCATTGATTGTTGTTCTTGTTTCATTTAAGGAAGACAAAACTTGCCCCAGCTCAACATGGCTTCTCTTATCTTTCAAGTGATCACTTTGTACTTGTTCCTGAATCCCACCATCTGAAACATAAGATCAATAACTTAAAATGTTCCATTCTAGTTCTTTATTATTTAGCTATACTTATGATTCTCTTTTCATCCAAAGTTGTCCTTGTTAGTATCTTGAGAAAAAATGCAAGTAATCTAATTCTTGCCATTATCCGAATAATTATTGAATAAATAGGAAAGAAGAAAATGTATTGTTATATGAAAAGAAAATCTTGTGTTTCCTGAAACAAAAAAAAAGCTAACCATTTGTGGTTTTATTGGATTCATTTTGTTCTAGGGAAGTCAATGAAAAGAAATTCATAGACAAATTTATTTATTGTAAGAGGTAAACTAATAGTATTTCTGAGCAAGGTGGGAGAATTAGTACATATAGAAGTCTGTCTTCTCCCTTCCAAGAAAATAAAAATGGTAGAGTTGTAATATAGACATGGTTAAAATCAGGATAAAAGTTATCTCTTTTGAAGCGAAGCATAGAGTTAATGATTAGCTCTAGGCATACTGAACACTTTAAGTCTAGCCCCTAGGAATGCATCAAGCTTATAACTTCAAATACAGATTAAAGAGGGATTAAAAATTTTGATCAATCAAAAAAAAAAAAAGCAGAAAATGACAAACATGAAAATAAAGAACACAGTGAAGAGTATACAAAGTACAAGGGTAGTAAACTAGAAATAAGGAAATATCTTGGAAGCAATCAGAAAGTAAAGATGGACCAGCACTGTGGCATAGCGGGTTCAGCTGCCACGGGCAGTGCCAGCATCCCATATGGGTGCCAGTTTAAATCTCAGCTGCTGCACTTCCCATCTAGCTCTTTGCTAATGTGACTGGGAAAGCAGTGGAGGATGGCCCGGGTGCTTGTCCCCATTCACCCATGTGTTGAGACCTAGAAGAACTCCTGTCTGCTGGGTTTGGCCTGGCCCAGCCTGGCTGTTGAAGCCATCTGATGAGTGAACCTGAGGATGGAAGATCTCTTTGTCTCTTTCTCTCTATGTTAACTCTGCCTTTCAAAAAATAAAATAGACCTTTATAAAAATAAAGAGATAAAGAAAGTAAAGACAATACTTTCCAAGAAATGACAATTACAGTAACAGCAGATCTTTCAACAGCAATGACTGAGTCCTGAAAACATTGGAATAATATCTCCAGAATACTGCAAGAAAAGGAATCGTCAATGTAAATTTGAATTTTCTTTATTTATAGTTCTTACATTTGTATAATATTATAACACATACTTATTATATGCTCAATGAAAATCTAGTGTTGCATATTGCTTTTTTTCATAGAGATATATTTCCTCTCTGCTTTATTTCCCCAAGACACCCTGAATCATAACATCAATAAACACATAAAATATTATGGTTCAAAACACACTTGCAAGATAAAACATTGCATGGAAAAGTGAAATTCAAGTTTATTTTCTCCCTTTCCTTTCCTTTTTTTTTTTTTTACCTTTTTCATCAATAGTTGATTTTCCTTCTAATTTGAGGAACACCTCATTCAGAGTTGTCATGGAAACACCATAATTCTCAATGCCTTGGTCACAACATCGATCAAGATCTCTGCAAAGTTCTAAAAGTGACACAAAAATAGATCAAAAGATGTAACTTATAATGATGCTGGTAATAGCTACATTTTGCAAAAATACAAAGCATTGGCAATAGGCCAAATGCATTCACTAGAAACAAAACTGCATATAGGTTTTCTTTCTTTTATAAAATGATCTATATTATATGTTAGTTTCTATGTTTTCTTTAGTATCAAAATCTAAACATTCACTTTTTCATTATTAGAAAACTGCATGTTTTTTGGAAAAATGTATTTTATTTAATGTATTTTTAAAAATTGTTTTATAAAATGGAGCATTTAATTTTAAACCTTGATATACCAAAGATGCTTTTCCAAAGAACTGAAATTCGTATTTTCATGTTAGCATTAATTGTTAGGGAACTTTAATGACCAATTAAAAATTATAGAAGTAAGTGTCACAGAATCTTCCCTAGTTCTAAAAAACATAAAGGACAAAATCTGTATGTAACTTTGCACCCTCCCTCCCTTCCTACTCATGTCTCTCTCCTTGAGCCTTAGAAGACTTACGAAGAACAAGCAAGTAATTTTAAGATATTTTTTCCCTCTAAAGATGTCAGAAATGACCTTTCAGCATTCAAGGAAAAATGCAAGTTGGGTAAAGGGTAAATTAGTACAAACATTGTGATAAATCAAAGGCTCTGTCTTAACTGTGTATTTGTGATTTCTAATTCTTCAATCCGCCTAAGTGCTGGTTCTTTTTCAGTCTTGCTCTAAATGGCTTATTCCCTTTCGAATACATTGAACAGCAATCAGGTAAAATTTTATTGTGTGGTCTTCATAAAAATTTCTATTTTCATCTCATTATATATCCCAAAGACATTGTGTATATCTAACTCTCTCATAATTCACTGATTCTAAGGTGAGTGCACCTCATCACCTTTTAACATATCTGGAATGAGAATGGATCATAAATGATTCTAGATCATGTTCTTAAAATTGAGCATTATTTGATTTTCTTTCTTTCTTTGTGGGACATCCTGTAGTTGAGGGTGTCTTAAACCTGGTAAATTACTACATCCAACTATTATCTCAGGTGATTTGTTTGTATTTAATATTTCAATAATAAATTTGAATATATTAAATTATTTAATGCTCATAACAATCTGTACAGAGTACTGGTATAATCCTCCTTTTTATAAAAGAGGAGGCAGAAGGACAGAAAAGCAATATGACTTGTCAGGATTATACAGCTGAAAAAGGGCACAGGAGGCATTTCAGTCTAGGACATTTGGCTTTAGCATCTGAATTTCAATCCTTACACTTGATTGTCTGGCATGGTTTCTTTATGGATCATGATTTTTGGCAGGCTTTTGAAATTAACCATGCAGCAATGACATTATTCCTTAACTTTGATAAGGAAAGTACATTTATATGAGCTGCACTTAAAAAATGAAAGCAGTCCACCTCAAAAGTCTTGGGAAATGGGGTAGAGGAAGCTTAAAGGCATCGGTTTCCCAGGCTTTTGTATTTGCAGCAAAGCTGTGAACTTTATAAGGTGTGACAGCATGCAGGCCTATTTTAATTATATTCAATAACTTAGATTATATCATTTTGTTACAATGTTTATAAAACAATAGATATATATGATTTCCCTGGCTCTTTCAACAATCTGCTACTGTTTGCACAATACTTTTCCTATCCTGAATACTCTCTCATTCATTCCTAAAACAAATTTTACAAATAAAGCTAATATTAGCTTGATACTATCTTGTAACTTTTAAAAAAGATTTATTTATTTATTTATTTCAAGTCATAGTTATACAGGAAAGGGAGAGACAGAGAGACAGGCCTTCCATTGATGGAGAGAGAGAGAGAGAGAGAGATCTTGCATCTGCTGGTTCACTCTCTAATTCTCTAGATGGCCACAATGGTGGGGGTTGGGCCAGGCTGAAACCAGGAAACAGGAGCTTCTTAAGGGTCTCCTACATGCATATTAGTGTCCAAGCACTTGGGCCATCTTTGGCTGCTTTTCACAGGCCATTAGTAGGGAGCTGGATTGGAAATGGAGCATCTGGGACACAAACCAACACCCATTTAGGATGCTGGCTTCGCAGGTGGCTGCTTTACCCACTACACCACAATGCCAGTCCCTATCTTAATTAAACATGTTGTCACTTGAAGAATATTCAAATATAGAAGCCTTGGATTAAATGAGGATGAATATCAGTGATGACAGAGGAAAAGACTAGAAGTGACCTTGTAGCAAAGAACATTAAATGAGTAAATGCATGGTGCCAGGTACTAGCAAGCATTAAAACTAGTCATCGGGGATGACATTGTGGCACAGTAGGTTAAGCTGCTGCCTGCAAGGCCAGCATCCCATATGAGCACCTGTTGGAGTCCTGGCTGCTCTACTTCCAATCCAGCTCCCTGCTGATGTGCCTAGGAAAGCAGTGGAAGATAGCCCAAGTGCTTGAGCCCTTGCACCTACATGGGAGACCCAGAAGGAGTTCAGGCTCATGGCTTAGGCCTGGCCCAGCCCCAGTCTTTATGGAGATTTGGGGAGTGAGCCAGCAGATGGAAGATTTCTCTCTCTCTCTCTCTCTCTTGCGATTGCTGTCACTCTGTCTCTCTCTCTCTCTCTAACTCTGCATTTTAAATAAATAAGTAAATAAATAACTCTTAAATTAGCCATCATTCTTATCACTATCATTTATTTTTAGTAACACCACTACCAAATCATTCTGTGGTCTCTGTATTTTGTTACCTGGAAATTTGCATGTTCTTTCCAAAGGCAAAATATACACAAGTTTTTCTTCACTTTGTGCTGTTAATTTGGCATCAGGGATGCGCTGTTTAATTAGTGTTGCTATATTTTCTGGATCACACATTTCATTCAGATGCAAACTAACATTTAAAAAAGAGCAAGTTAAAGTTATTTTTATTCAACGCTATCTCTAAAAACAATTTCATAACTAGTATTATGTACTTGTAACTTAATTAATATTTATGACACAAGATGTATAATTTATTAGGAGAAACCTGATCTAAAAATACTAATAAACAATTTAATCTGCATACATGGCAGAGGAACTAGTGGCAAGGGATGTTTTGAGTCAGAAAAATTAACTCAAGAACTGTTTTTTGGAAAAACAGAGATATTCAGTTAAATCTTGGCAGGGTTGAGGTGGAAAGAAATGCACAGTTTTGTCTCCACCTATTAAAAAACTCAACCTTGAATTACCTTTTCCAGTAATGTATCCCTTCTGCTAGAACTTGAACATAGTAAAATAGAAATGGAGGTAACTTGGTACAATCATTAAGAACATAGTCTTAATCTCAATACTAATGCAGATTTCAGGGCTCAGACAAGTTGTTTAACATCTCTGAGCACCTTTTCCCATCTGTGAGATGAAATATACCCAGCTCTCAAAAGAACACATACATACAGTATTCATTTTTTTCTGCTTTTTTTCTTACTATCATACTATTTGTTGAACTCTTAACATAGAATTAATCATATGTGTATAAAGTTAATTGAAAATAGATCTTAGTGAAAAATAGGAGTGGGAATAAGAGAGGGAGAAGGAAATGGGGTGGGAGTGCGGGTGGGAGGGTAGGCATGGTGGGAAGATTCACCATGTTCCTAAAGTTGTAATTATGAAACGTATGCAGCTTTTAATAGTAAAGCTGTATAGTTCTGCATACATTCCTATGGATTCACTTCCAAGGGTACAATTCAAAAATTTGCCATGGAGGGGCTGGCACTGAGGTAAAGCCACCACCTGCACATCCTGCATCCCATATGGGTGATGGTTCTAATCCCAGCTGCTCCACTCTGATCCAGCTCTCTGCTATGGCCTGGGAAAGCAGTAGAAGATGGCCCAAGGCCTTGGGACCCTGCACCCACATGGGAGACCCAGAGGAAGCTCCTGGCTCCTGGCTTCAGATCTGCTCAGCTCCAGCCATTGTGGCCAATTGGGGAGTGAACCAGTGGATGGAAGACCTCTATCTGCCTCTCCTCCTCTCTCTGTGTAACCCTGACTTTCAAATAAATAAATAAATCTTAAAAATTTTTTTCCATGGGACGTCAAATCCCCACAAACTGGGGAGAGGGCTGGAAGAGGGGAAGCATTTTAAGCATTAAAGTGATTGTAGGGATAAGATTGAACATCAAAGTGATCATATAGATAGGGTTAAGTGTTAAAGTGATCATATAAATAGGATTAAGTGGTTGGTAATAATAATAGAATTAAAAAAGCATGAATGCTCCAACATGAGAAGCAGTCCACACAGCACACTTGTAGAAAGACAATCACTTAAAGCAGCACTCTGACCTCAGAACCAGCCCTTAAGCATTCTAGTCTGGATAAAAAAGCCCACGAGAACATTTCAGGCATGGAAAGCAATAGAAGACCCTGAGAGACCAGTGATGAAGTTCCATCACTGTCTCCCATGTGAGAGATCTGGATCATGTTCTTAGTTCCTGGCTTTGATCATACCCAGAGGCTGTTTCAGTCATTTGAAAAGTAGGACAGTGCCTGGGTGCAATATTTCTTTTCCTTTCCCCCTCCTCCATTCTTCTCCCTCTCCATCTCTCTCTCTTTGCCTCTCATTAACAACAACAAAAAATATGTGTATGAGATAGCACAAGACCTTGAGATAGAGTTGGTGCTGTGGCATACTCAGCCTGCAGTGCTGGCATACCATGTGGGTGCCTGTTTGTAGACTGGCTGCTCCTCTTCCAATCCATCTCTCTACTAATGGCCTGGGAAAGCATTGCAAGATGGCTCATGTGTTTTAACCCCTGCACCCACATGGGAGACCTGGAAGAAGGTTCTGGCTTATGGCTTCATCCTGGCCCAGTCCCTGCCATTGGGACCATTTGGGGAGTGAACTAGGGAATGGAAGACCTCTCTTTCTGTCTCTCTGTTTGTGACTCTGTCTCTCATATAAATAAATAAATCTTTTTTTCAAAAGCTGTATATATGAAATACATGAAATTTGTTCACTTTAAATAAATAAATAATTTTAAAAAGACCTTGCAATAAGTAAATTCTCAATACATGTTAGCTTATTATCATATTTTTGTCCAACATTTATTCATGTGAAGCCCAGTCTGATTTTTGTTAAGAAAATATAAAATTCTTCATAAAATTATTGGATTTTATAAACGCCATTATTAGTCACATCAATTGAAATGCACTAGGTGATAGTGTGATGGGAACATTGAAGTAACACCTTGACAGTAGGGACTCCATTTTGGAGTACTAGAGACTCCATTCTGGTAAGGCACATCCACCCCCACCCTACCCCCCCGTGAAACTCTGATCTGAAACTATGATCTAAAATACTCGGACAACAGAAGTCCACTACATCACACTTGGTAAAGCATAGAAACCCCCTAGCATGATCACTCAAGCTTGGAAGTGGATCAGCTGCACTTGGATTAATGATAAAAATGTAATTTGTCTATGTCCTATATATGATTTAAGCCAATACCTGGATTAATGTCAGGATTATAACTGTACTTGTTAAGGTTGTAACTGGTATTGTCAAGATTGTAATTGACATTATTTTCACATAGGTTTTAGGTTAGCTTGACCCTGGTAACCATGTATTCCTCCCTGATCATAGCAGCTGTGTATTCCTCTCCAGATTTTGTGGGTTTTGCCTTTATAAATGCTGTTGCTGTGAGCCTGAGTCCAGAGTTCTTTGGGGCATGAGCCCACTCTCAGACACCAGCAATAAAGGACTGTAAAATTTATCAGTGTGTGGCACTCCTCTGTCAGCACTTGATCAGGCACAACAACATCACAATTGACAACAATGTCACAAATGACAAACTTAAAACAATCATCCTTTTTAAACTTCTATTTAAACAAGAAAACAGTAGTTTCCTTAAAGGAACTTGTAGTTATGAAGATATAAAGGATCATGTTATAAAAGAAGTGAGAGAGAGACACATTAATTCAGGTGAGTACTTTGTACCTTGTCAAGTATTCATTCAATATTTTTTAGTCTTAACTGAAAACTAGGTATTATTATTATTATTATTGCTATTTTACAAATGATGTTTCTGAGGATCAAAAAAATTAACTACATTTTCTAAAGCAAAATAGAGCTTCCAGGTTTCCAGAAAAGAAGATGCTTATTAAAGAGAAAATATTTAAGGAAAATCTTCCAGGAACAGAAAGACATGGACTTGGTTAAATGGGTTGGGGAAGGGCATCTTAGACAGATGTCCTCCCTCAAGCAGAAACATGCCTAGGGAATAGTGAATGGTTTATTTTAATTGGAAAGTACTAATGAAATTAGATTTTAACAATAATGATGGAATGATAAATTTGATCAGATTAAGCACTCCCAATTGGCAAATCCATTTAGCCACTGGCAATGAAGTGATATGAATTATTTTTAAAATTAATAACTTAGCAAGAAGTTTAGTAAGCACTTCATATTATACCTGTAATCTTGATACTAAGAGACTGGCAGATTGTTAAAATTCTCTGACATATGGTTTTCTGATTTGTCAAAGGTGGATGATAATAGTACTTAGAGTTATTTGGAGGATATTAATATTCTATATGTAAATATCTTAGTACCTAAAATACAGTGAACATTTAATAAGTAAAATATCACTAATAATGATAATAATTATTTTCATGATAAGGAGAAAAAAGAATTATGGGGAAAATAAAGATAGGGAAAATTAAGAGGAAGGTTTGAAATTGTCAGGATGAGCAAAAATAAACATATTAAAATATGATAAGAGGAGCTGGAATATCAATAAACAACTCATAAAACAATATATTATAAAAACATTTCCACCAAATTTCATTTAAACTGAGATTAATCATCTCAATATCCTCAAGGTCTATAATTTCACATACTCTACATTCTTGCTAAAAAAAAGGGGGACCAGGTGTGACAGTTCTAGCATAGCTCTCTTGAAATGAACTTAGTAGATGTGTAATCTATATTCATATATTGATATTGACATCATCTACCCTACCATTTTCAGCATTTCCAACATGTTTCCAATATTAATAGCTATACCTTAAATGGTAGCCAATACCCCATTTCTTCTTCAGGAATAGGGAAAAACCTGCACACTTCAGCCTCCCATTGGATATAAACACCTTCCTATCTATTTAGAAAGAAGCAAAAGATAAATTGCATTAGAAACTTATTCTTTAACTGTTTAAAAAAGAGTGACTCCATTAAAAATAATGTATTTTAGGAGCATGACACACTAAAATAGATATGTTGTAATTCTGCCCTTATGTAAACCACTTTTGCAAGAACTGCAGTGATACATTGTTACTTTATTCTCTGGCATTTGTGGAAGAAAATCATACATCTGAAAGATAAGTCAACTGAGATTCACACTAAACAAAGCAAAGTATACATTTAAGAGTGTGCTATGCATTTTACAAATAGTAATCTGCTCTGCAATGGGACCAGAATACTTCTATGGGATCAAAGTATGCTGGGATGCAGACACTCAAATCAATGAGAGCAAAATTCTCTCTTTTTAGTCAATGGCAATCACTTGTAAGACACAGCTATGGATCATATCCATTCATATTCCACATAGTTCCTAATTCCTCACTAATGTACATAAAAGAAAACCAAAAGTTACCAGCCAGAATGTCAGCCTCATCCATGAACTGGGTACTGAAGAGAATTACTTTGTCTGATTTTCTCTCTTTTAGGAGATTCCATACTCAGTGCCTTGAAAGAGGATCCAATCCAGCAGTTGGTTCATCCAAGAGCAAAACCTGGACAGTAGGTAAGCACATGCAATAATTTTTTTTCCTTTCAGACAAGATTTTAGAAAAATCAGTACATTTAAAAGCATTTTGGACAAATATCATAGTACTTAACATTCCACTGCAAAAGTTCTTTCACCTTAATCATTTGCAAATTAAATGTGAGCTGATAAAATATTTTTATAGCCATAAATCTGATTTTACCAGTTATTCTAGTTTGATTTACCTCAGGATCTCCTAAAATGGCAATCCCAAAGGTTAGCTTCCTTTTTTGTCCACCGCTTAAAGTTAGAGCAAGTATGTCTTGTATATTTTCCATATCTAAGCCCCTCAAAACTCATTGTACCTAACCAAAAAAAGAACATTTATTCCAAAATCCAAGATATTTCATATAAAAAATACTATCACTTTTCTATGCTTAGTAATGGCTTTTTGTCTAATGATTAGATAACAAATTGTGTAGAAATAATACAAACACATTCAGAATTTCTCATGGTTATGTGACATGTAGCAAATTCATATACCTCTTGCTCCACTTCATGTGGTAGAATCCCTTTGATTTTAACAAACAGCCTGAGGTTTTCTTTCAAAGTGAGAAAGCCAAACTGCACATTGGATTGTGGACACACTCCAGTGAACTTGCTGGCAGTTTCCATGTGAGCCATTTCTGATAGTGTGTGATTATAAATGGTGATCGAACCTATAAGCAGAAGGTAGAAAGTTACCATCAGGACAATGTGTCATGTTCCATTTAAAATATTTTAAGAGGTGGATGTCACACAGACACCAGCGGGGAGAGCAGGGATGCCCAGGGCTCCACACATCGGCGCTGGAAGGGGAGGTGAGCTCAGTAACCCGAGACATTGGCTAGGAAACGGCGGTCAGAATCTAGAGGGGAGCGTGAAAGTTCACCAGACTATCTACAGGAGAGAAGGAAAAAAAGGTGGGGGGGTACTGGTACAGACAAGTTTCTCTCTCTGCCAACCTAGCAAAGGTGAGCAAGAGACAAAGAGCAGGCTGCTCTCTGTTTATACATAACAACAGGGGAGAGCTAAGGAACTGAGTTGCTACAATTCAGTAGCCTAGGCAACCCAGTGGGAGTCCAGAGGAGGAAACAGCCTGCACAGACTCTTTGGGTAGAAGCCAGAGATCAGAAGCTAAATACCATCAATTCTGCACAGCCATGCGGTATTACTTACCTCCTGAATAAATAAAATAAATAAATAAATAAATAGAGAGAGAGAGATTTACCATGCATAACCTGAGGGTGTCACCTTTGCACAACCATAACCCGGAAGAACCAAGCAGAGCTCTCAGGCCACACCCATCTCACACCTCCAAGGCTCCTCCAACAGCAGGCAGTCCACTTAACACAGACATAGTATAAAAAAACAAACAAAACAAACAAACAAACAAACAAAAAAAAAAACAAAAAAAACGCACAGTGAGGGGAGAAGAATTAACTATGCCAAGCAACAAACACAAAAAGAACAAGATCAATGATGACACTATGATGCCTCCAAATAAACAAAACACCCCAAGCCAAGATTATGAAGATGATGAGATAGAAGAAATGCAAGATACGGATTTCAAAAAATTTATGATAAGAACATTTAGAAGTTTTCAAAAGCAAATCCTTGAACTACAGAAATCCTTATTGGACAGGATTGAAAATCTCTCTCGTGAAAATGAAATTTTAAGGAAGAATCAAAATGAAACGCAGAAACTAGTAGAGCAGGAAAGTGTGATAGTGAAGAGAAATCAAAATGAAATGAATAGCTCAATAGATCAAATGACAAACACATTAGAGAGCCTTAAAAACAGAATGGGTGAAGCAGAAGAGAGAATATCAGACTTAGAAGACAGAGCACAGGAAAACATACAGTCAAACCAAAGACAAGAAGAGGAAATTAGAAATCTAAAAAATATTGTTGGGAATCTACAGGATACTATTAAAAAAACCAACATTTGAGTTCTAGGAGTTCCTGAAGGCATGGAGAGAGAGAAAAGATTAGAAGGCCTTTTTAGTGAGATACTAGCAGAGAACTTTCCAGGTTTGGAGAAGGACACAGACATCCTAGTACAGGAAGCTCATAGAACCCCCAATAAACATGACCAAAAGAGATCCTCACCACGACACGTTGTAATTAAACTTACCACAGTGAAACATAAAGAAAAGATCCTAAAATGTGCAAGAGAGAAACGTCAGATTACTCTCAGAGGATCTGCAATTAGACTCACAGCAGACTTCTCATCAGAAACACTACAGGCTAGGAGGGAATGGCGAGCCATAGCACAGGTGCGAAGAGAGAAAAATTGTCAGCCCAGAATATTATATCCTGCTAAGCACTCATTTGTGAATGAAGGTGAAATAAAGACCTTTCATAGCAAACAGAAATTGAAAGACTTTGTGGCCACTCATCCGGCCCTGCAAAAGATACTTAAAGATGTGCTACACTCAGAAAAACAGAAACACGGCCATCAATATGAAAGAAGGTAAAGGAAGAAAACCTACCAGTAACAGAGCATGGGAAGCTCAAAGCATATACTAGAAAATATCTCCGGGAAAATGTCAGGGCAAAGTCACTACATATCAATAGTCACATTAAACATTAATGGTCTTAACTCGTTAGTTAAAAGATACCAGTTGGCTGATTGGCTCAAGGAACAAAACCCAACTATTTGTTGCATACAAGAAACACATCTCTCTAACAAAGATGCATGCATACTGAAAGTGAAAGGCTGGAAAAAGATATTCCATGCCAACAGAAACCAAAAAAAAGCAGGTGTAGCCATATTAATATCAGACAAAATAAACTTTAATACAAAAACTGTTAAGAGAGACAAAGAGGGACACTATATAATGATTAAGGGTTCAATTCAACAGGAAGATGTAACTATTATAAATGTATATGCACCTAATTACAGGGCACCCGTCTATTTAAAAGATATGTTAAGGGACTTAAAGGTAGACTTAGATTCCAATACAATAGTACTGGGGGACTTCAATACTCCACTCTCAGAAATAGACAGATCATCTGGACAGAAGATCAACAAGGAAACAGCAGATTTAATCGACACTATTGTCCAAATGGATCTAACAGATATCTACAGAACTTTCAATCCTACATCTAAAGACTTCACATTCTTCTCAGCAGTGCATGGAACCTTCCCTAGGATTCATCACATACTAGGCCATAAAGCAAGTCTCAGCAAATTTAAAAGAATTAGAATCATACCATGCAGCTTCTCAGACCACAGCGGAATGAAGCTGGAAATTAGCAACTCAGGAAACCCTAGAAAGTATGCCAACACAAGGAGACTGAACAACATGCTCCTGAATGAACACTGGGTCATTCAAGAAATCAAAAGAGAAATCAGAAACTTTCTGGAAGTAAATGAGGATAACAACACAACATATCAAAACTTATGGGATACAGCAAAAGCAGTATTGAGAGGCAAGTTTATAGCAATAGGTGCCTACATCAATAAATTGAAAGGCACCAAATAAATGAGCTTTCAGCGCATCTCAAGGACCTAGAAAAACTGCAGCAAACCAAACCCAAATCTAGTAGGAGAAGAGAAATAATTAAAATCAGAGAAGAAATCAACAGGATTGAATCAAGAAAAACATTCCAAAAAATCAGCCAAACGAGGAGCTGGTTTTTTGAAAAAATAAACAAAATTGACACCCCATTGGCCCAACTAACTAAAAAAAGAAGAGAAAAGACCCAACTCAACAAAATCAGAGATGAAAAAGGAAACGTAACAACAGACACCACAGAAATAAAAACAATCATCAGAAATTACTACAAGGACTTGTATGCCAGCAAACAGGAAAATCTATCAGAAATGGATAGATTCCTGGACACATGCAATCTACCAAAATTGAACCATGAAGACATAGAAAACCAAAATAGACCCATAACTGAAACAGAAATTGAAACAGTAATAAAGGCCCTCCCAACAAAGAAAAGCCCAGGACCAGATGGATTCACTGCTGAATTCTAGCAGACATTTAAAGAAGAACTAATCCCATTTCTTCTCAAACTATTCAGAACAATCGAAAAAGAGGGAATCCTCCCAAATTCTTTCTATGAAGCCAGCATCACCTTAATCCCTAAGCCAGAGAAAGATGCAGCACTGAAAGAAAATTATAGACCAATATCCCTGATGAACATAGACGCAAAAATCCTCAATAAAATTCTCGCCAATAGAATACAACAACACATCAGGAAAATCATCCACCCAGACCAAGTGGGTTTTATCCCTGGTATGCAGGGATGGTTCAACATTCGCAAATCAATCAGTCTGATTCACCACATTAACAGACTGCAGAAGAAAACCCATATGATTATCTCAACAGATGCAGAGAAAGCATTCAATAAAATTCAACACCCTTTCATGATGAAAACTCTAAGCAAATTGGGTATAGAAGGAACATTCCTCAATATAATCAAAGCAATTTATGAAAAACCCACGGCCAACATCCTATTGAATGGGGAAAAGTTGGAAGCATTTCCACTGAGATCTGGCACCAGACAGGGATGCCCATTTTCACCACTGCTATTTAAAATAGTTCTGGAAGTTTTAGCCAGAGTCATCAGACAAGAAAAAGAAATTAAAGGAATAAAGATTGAGAAGGAAGAATCAAACTATCCCTCTTTGCAGATGATATGATTCTTTACTTAGAGGATCCAAAGAACTCTACTAAGAGACTATTGGAACTCATAGAGGAGTTTGGCAAAGTGGCAGGATATAAAATCAATGCACAAAATTCAACAGCCTTTGTATACACAAGCAATGCCACGGCTGAGAAAGAACTGCTAAGATCTATCCCAATCACAATAGCTACAAAAACAATTAAATACCTTGGAATAAACTTAACCAAGGATGTTAAAGATCTCTATGATGAGAATTACAAAATCTTAAAGAAAGAAATAGAAGAGGACACCAAAAAATGGAAAAATCTTCCATGCTCATGGATTGGAAGAATCAACATCATCAAAATGTCCATTCTCCCAAAAGCAATTTATAGATTCAATGCAATTCCAACCAGGATACCAAAGACATTCTTCTCTGACATAGAAAAAATGATGCTGAAATTCATATGGAGGCACAAGAGACCTCGAATAGCTAAAGTAAACTTGTACAACAAAAACAAAGCCGGAGGCATCACAATACCAGTTTTCAAGACGTACTACAGGGCAGTTGTAATCAAAACAGCATGGTACTGGTACAGAAACAGATGGATAGACCAATGGAACAGAATTGAAACACCAGAAATCAACCCAAACATCTACAGCCAACTTATATTTGATCAAGGATCTAAAACCAATTCCTGGAGCAAGGACAGTCTATTCAATAAATGGTGCTGGGAAAACTGGATTTCCACGTGCAGAAGCATGAAGCAAGACCCCTACCTTACACCTTACACAAAAATCCACTCAACATGGATTAAAGACCTAAATCTACGACCTGACACCATCAAGTTATTAGAGAACATTGGAGAAACCATTCAAGATATTGGCACCGGCAAAGAGTTTCTGGAAAAGACCCGGGAGGCACAGGCAGTCAAAGCCAAAATCAACTATTGGGAATGCATCAAACTGAGAAGTTTCTGTACTGCAAAAGAAACAGTCAGGAGAGTGAAGAGACAACCAACAGAATGGGAAAAAATATTTGGAAACTATGCAACAGACAAAGGGTTAATAACCAGAATCTACAAAGAGATCAAGAAACTCCACAAAAACAAAACAAACAACACACTTAAGAGATGGGCCAAGGACCTCAATAGACATTTTTCAAAAGAGGAAATCGAAATGGCCAACAGGCACATGAAAAAATGTTCAAGATCATTAGCAATCAGGGAAATGCAAATCAAAAACACAGTGAGGTTTCACCTCACCCCGGTTAGAATGGCTCACATACAGAAATCTACCAACAACAGATGCTGGAGAGGATGTGGGGAAAAAGGGACACTAACCCACTGTTGGTTGGAATGCAAACTGGTCAAGCCACTATGGAAGTCAGTCTGGAGATTCCTCAGAAACCTGAATATAACCCTACCGTTTGACCCACCATCCCACTCCTTGAAATTTACCCAAAGGAATTTAAATTGGCAAACAAAAAAAGTGGTCTGCACCCTAATGTTTATTGCAGCACAATTAACAATAGCCAAGACCTGGAACCAACCTAAATGCCCATCAACGGTAGACTGGATAAAGAATTATGGGATATGTACTCTTTAGAATACTATACCGCAGTAAGAAACAATGAAATCCAGTCATTTGCAACAAAATGGAGGAATCTGGAACACATCATGCTGAGTGAAATAAGCCAGTCCCAAAGGGACAAATATCATATGTTCTCCCTGATCGGTGACAACTGACTGAACACCAAAAAGGAAACCTGTTGAAATGAAATGAACACTATGAGAAATGGTGACTTGATCAGCATAGCCCTGACTGTTAATGAACAACTTAATACATTATCCCTCTTAGTATTTTTTTGTCTGTTCTACTTAATATGACTGGTTTAATTCTGTAATTATCACACAGTTATTCTTAAGTGTTGAAATTTAACTCAAATGTGATCCCTGCTAAACATAAGAATGGGAATAAGAGAGAGAAGAGATGTACAATTTGGGACATGCTCAAGCTGACTTGCCCCAAATGGTAGAGTTAGAAACATACCAGGGGATTCCAATTCAATCCCATCAAGGTGGCATGTACCAATGCCATCTCACTAGTCCAAGTGATCAATTTCAGTTCACAATTGATCATAATGAAAGGACTAAAAGTCAAAGGGATCACATAAACAAGTCTAATACCTGCTAATTCTAACCAATAGAATAAATAAAGGGGAGAGTGATCCAACATGGGAAGCGAGATACACAGCAGACTCATAGAATGGCAGATGTCCTAAACAGCACTCTGGCCTCAGAATCAGCCCTAAAGGCATTCGGATCCAGCTGAAAAGCCCATGAGAGTATTTCAGGCATGGAAAGCCAAGACACTCAGGCATAGGGATTAATGTATCTATACAACAAAAGTCCTAAATGAAAGATCTCTGTGAGTGAGATCCCAGTGGAAAGAACAGGTCTTCAAAGAAGGAGGTACCTTTCTCTGAAGGGAGGAGACGACCTCCACTTTGACTATGACCTTGTCTAAACAAGATAAGAGTCAGAGAACTCAAATGGCTTCCATAGCCTTGGAAACTCATGACTGGAGCATAGGGAGATTACTGATGCCATACACAGGAGTGTCAATTTGTAAAGTCAACAACAGGAGTCACTGTGCACTTACTCCTCATGTAGGATCTCTGTCCTTAGTGTGCTGTACATTGAGATTTAATGCTATAATGAGTACTCAAACAGTATATTTCACTTTGTTTTTCTATGTGGTTGCAAACTGTTGAAATCTTTACTTAATGTATACTAAACTGATCTTCTATATATATAGAAAATTGAAAATGAATCTTGATATGAATGGAAGCGGAGAGAGAGCGGGAAAGGGGAGTGTTGCGGGTTGGAGGGAAGTCATCGGGGGGGAGGGGGAAGCCAATGTAGTCCATAAGCTGTACTTTGGAAATCTATATTCATTAAATAAAAGTTAAAATATATAAATAAATAAATAAAATATTTTAAGAGAGAAAATGACGTATGCCAATTTCTAGATCTACTTAAACATATTTTACATATAGGAATACATCATTGATAAAGAATTTAATGTTTACAATAATATTTGTTCTAGTCAGAATCCCTATTGGTAACTGAATAGTCAAAAATTACTTATGAAATATTTAAAACATAAAAAATATTTTTCTAAACACACACAATTCTATATAATATTAAATAAACTTCTATAATTTTTCTCTTAAATACATGATATAACAGTAATTAATAAAATTGCAGTTAATTCTCTCATGTGCTTGTCTTTAGATAATTATCCTCTCACCTTATGTTGGGACTGATAGCCCACTGAGTATGTTTAACAGGGTGGTTTTCCCAGCTCCACTATGACCAAGCAGGGCAGTGATCTGGCCTTCATATATGTCAATCACCAGACCTGGCATGATGGAAGACCATTGAGTTCACATTCTATGATCTTTTTATAATTCTTTGTAGCATAAATATATTTGATTACCAATATTCAAAATAAAATCAATCTTAAACCTCTTTTAAAATTGTGTCTCAGATTATATATATGTATATATATTTGTAAAATTTATTTATTTGAAAATTAGAGTTACACAGAGAGGAAGGAGAGGCAGAGAGAGAGAGAAGTCTTCCATCTGCTGGTTCACTCCCCAAGTGGTCGCAATGGCCAGAATTGTGTCAATCCGAAGCCAGGAGCCAGGAGCTTCCTCTGGGTCTCCCATGTGGGTGCAGGGGCCCAAGGCCTTGGGCCATTTTCTTCTACTTTCCCAGGCCATAGCAGAGAGCTGTATTGGAAATGGAGCAGCTGGGATTTGAACCTGTGCCTATACGGGATGCCAGCTTTGCAGACAGCAGCTTTACCCACTATACCACAGATACCAGCCCCAGATGATACATATTTCCTAACTATAGTGCCACCAATGACATGTAATTTTGTGATTAACAGGTTTCATTTTTGATAAAGACAGTTTTATCATTAAAGAGAGGCTGACTATAATAAAAAGAGCTTTAGGATTTGAGCATATAATAAAAGGAAAATAAGAAATTTTATGATGTTTTCATGTATCTTTTAAATCCATAAGATTCTAAATGGTACACCTACCTTTTAAAATTGTTATACAAATTTTCATTTACTTGGAAGGGGACATAATGTGTTCCAAAGTCAAGATATCTGTCCCTGTAATCTTTATCAAGGTGATACAGCATGAAGCAGAGTCATTAAGCAAACAGCCATGTCAAATATAAATTACCTTTCAAAGCTTCTACTTTTTCATGCTTTCCTGCATATTCTTTTGTAAGATTTTTGATTTTGAAAAACAAGGGAAATGTTTTGAGGAAATGGACAGAGGGTTGATAAACCAAGGCTTTGAGGCTGTGAGGCAACCTGAGAACTCTTTTCTTTCACATAGGCACTGGCAGAAGAATCTAGGGCATGTCATTTGACGTGATACCCTGATCATTGTCAGCTGAACGGGGTACAGTATCCTCGGGGTGGGGAGGGATAGCTAGCTCGTGAAAATATTTTGCCACAGGATTGTTACAAATGAGTGGGTAACAGGAAAGCTGGAGATGGTTAGGAGGTACTAGGGTGGAGAAAGGAAGTCATACCCCCTCACAGAAAAATTAGGGCTTTGGATCAAATTTTTGGATAAAGAGCTAGAAGTATACCCCTCATCAGCTTTCAATCAATTTAATTTACTCAAAACTCGCTGAGTTTAGTTTGTCAGTAAAATGGGGAAGACAGCATTAGCTTTCACGTAGAGTTAATTTGTAGAGTGCATAAGATAATACTGCAGAAATCAAAATGCATAGTACAAAGCAAACCTCCAAATAACATGAGAGCAAAGGAAGAAGAAACAAGATTAAAAACAAAGATTTTAGAAAAGAGTGCAGGGAAAAAATTCAAGATAAGTTGAAAGTCTCCTACAAGCCAGGCCCTGTGCATTTTATTTGCATTGTTTTTTTTCACATTTTCCCAACAAATCAGCAAGTTGGATTAGCCTGCTCAGCCTGCTTTAAACAAATACCATAAGACTGGATAAAGAATAGATATTTATTTCTCATAGTTTTAGTGGCTGAGAAGTCCAATATCAAAGTGCTAAGTTGATCTGGCTCCTGGTGAGGACTCTCTCTCCAGTTTTACCAATGGTCACCTTTTTGCTATGTTCTCACATGGCAAAGAGAGAGAGAGAGAGAGAGAGAGTGCAAGAGAGAGAGAGTGCACAAAGCCTCTGGTGTCTATTTGTATAGATACATTAATCCCTATGGAGGTCCCACCCTCATGATCTTATCTATCCTCAAAGGCCCCATCTCCAAATATTGTCATTCGTTTCAATTTATGAATTCTGAAGAGACACAATTGAATCTATAGACTAGGTATAATCCAAAGTAGTTTTGAAGAGGGCAGGACTTGAGATGCAATACTTTAAGAGTTGAATGCATATGGGTTCTGATATTGTCCTTCCTAAACTGTGTGGCCTTGGGTAACTTGCTTAATTTTTCCTATCCTCCCTGCCCCCATATTTTCTCTTTCATGCAATAAGAAGTATCTACTTGCTTTATTTCTTCATTTCATTACGCAGTGTGATTAATTTTTTTCTGTAAGTCTTGATATAATTCAATCAGCGTTTTGGCAGTAGTGCGGTTGGCACAACAATGCACTTTATTCTTTTGTCCTTTACAGTAAGAAATGATGTTAGTCCATTTGGCTTGGACTCTGGGATAGAATGACTCACAGCCTCAGAACTCTGTGAACTGGTCTGATGGATGCAGTGCAGGTCAGAGCAGTGAAGCAGGATAGTTTAGGGTTACCAGCCTGTAGACAAAACCTTCTAGACTATCTAAATAGTTGGCTATGCAGGACTATCTGCTTCCAATGTCTCCAACCATTGCTGGAGATAAGTTTTTGAAATCACAGGGCTAATTTTATTACCTAAAAAATTACAAACCTTGAAAACTTTCCTACTTGCCAACTTTGTAAGTCAAAATATCTTCTTTCAGCATTGAAAGCTTTCTATATGATTCTTTGATAAGAACTGATTCTGACCCCAGCACTAGAAAGGATATAAATCTTAGCATTCCAGCTTAGAAGGAGATCACAGCTTTTATGAATACAGAAATAATGTATGGATAGGACAGAACACTAGTCCTTATCATCTGCTCATATTCAATTTATGTTTTTAAAAATGAAATGGTTAGAGACCATAAGTATTATAAAAAAGTTTAGAATCAAAATGGATTGATGAAAGGAGTGGATCAGAAAGGTTTTATTGAGAAGTGAGATGAAGATAATACTGAACCTGATGGAAAAAGTTAGGAAAATATCTGGAGTATTAGGGATTTCTAGATGTCTGGAAATCAAAGCAACCAACATTGAACAAAGTATGTACATCATCTTCATGGGAAGATATGCATGGTGCCACTACCCCTAACTCTGCTTCATTCCTTCACGTCTCCCTGGAGTGTGTATCCCACCCCTTTTCAGCTTCATTTTTCTGTCTTTCTTCATCTTGTTAGCCAGGAAGGGAAGAGGAGAGGGAGAAAGTGAACCACAGAGAAAAAGGAGTGAGAATAACAAATGAGATGACGACACTATCACCAAGATGGTAACAGAAGAAAGGAGAGAAAAATATGAAGAGGAAAACCAAGAGACAATGAGGGAAATAGAAATAGGCATATTATTATGTGATGGTTGTTGCCATACAAGAAGATATTAGTAATTACAAATGTTGAGAATGAGAAAAAACAATGCTATTAAGAATGAGTGGATTTGGGGAGTGAAACAGCACGTAGGAGAGTGCTTGCCCCAGCAGACTAAGTTAGAGGGGAATCGCAGGTCCACGGAGCTGTGGATAGCAGTGGGAGGGAGTGTTTGGCAAACTACTTCTGAAGTTCCATGCGGGGAAAAAAATAAATGAACAAATAGGAAGTGGTACACCTCCCTACCCCTACCCCCACCTTGCAGGGACTGGCAGCCGCTAGAAGAAGTCATTCTGCTCCTTCGTTTTTATTTTTTTCTATTTTTGTATGCAAGCAGGTGGTAGCTGCCCCTGCCTCCTGTGCCCTAACCCAGAAATAGCAGGGATCACTTCACCTTCCACCCAAACAGCAAGAAACACAACAATTCAGAAGAATACCTTACACCATGATGCAAGCAGTACATCAAGGAGAAGCCCCGCCTATCTTGCCAGCCCACCACCATAGTGAAGTGAGCTGGGCCCCCATAGGCATTGGCTCAGCACACATGCCCACGACCCACAGACCTATAGCACCTCACAACAGAGGGAACCGTGCTCACAGGAAAGTCACTACAGATCAAGAGCAGTACAGTAAGCAGACCAACCTAGTTGGAAGCACTCCCACTGAGATTTGGAACCAGACAAGGATGCTCACTCTCACATTGTTTTTCAATAGTGCTGGAAGTTCTAGCCTGAGCCATTATACAAGAAAAAGAAATCAAAGGGTTACAAATCAGGAAGGAGGAAGTCAAACTGTCCCTATTTGCAGATGACATGATCCTATACATAGGGGATCCAAAAGACTCCACTAAGAGACTACTGGAACTCATAGAAAAATTTGGATATGTAGCAAGATATAAAAATCAACACACAAAAATCAATAGCTTTTGTATATGCTGACAATGCCACAGCTGCAAAAGAGCTTCTAAGATCAATCCCATTCACAATAGCTACCAAAAAATATCATATACCTTGGAATAAATTTAACCAAGAATCTCAAAGATCTCTAAGATGAGAATTACAAAACATTAAAGAAAGAAATAGAAGAAGATACAAAAAAATGGAAAAATTTTCCATGTTCATGGATTGGAAGAATCAATATCATCAAAAATGTCCATCCCTACCAAAAGCGATTTACAGGTTCAATGTAATATTATTTAAAATACCAAAGACACTCTTCTCAGATCTAGAAAAAAATGATGTTGAAACTCATATGGAAACACAAGAGATCTCGAATAGTTAAGCAATCTTATACAAGAAAAACAAAACCAGAGGCATTACAACACCAGATATCAACACATACTACAGGGCAATTATAACGAAAACGGCCCAGTACTGCTACAAAAACAGATAGACTAACTTAACAGAATAGAAACACCTAAAATCAATCCAAGTATCTACAACCAACTTATCTTGGACAAAGGAGCTAAAATCACCTCTTGGAGCAAGGACAGTTTCTTCAACAAATGGTGCTGAGAAAACTGGATCACCACATGCAGAAGCATGAAGGAAGACATTTACCTGACACCTTTCACCAAAATCCACTCAGAATGGACTAAAGACCTAATTACTATGATCCAATACTATCAAATTATTAGAGAACATTGGGGAAACCCTACAAGACATCAGCATAGACAAAGAGTTCTTAGAAAAGACCCCAGAGGCACAGGCAATCTAAGCCAAAATTGACAAATGGGAATACATTAAATTGAGAAGCTTCTGCACTGCAAAAGAAATAATCAGCAAGGTGAAGAGAAAAGTGACAGAATTGGAGAAATATTTGCAAACTATATAACTGATAGAAGATTAATAACCAGAATATATAAAGAGATCAAGAAATTAAACAAAAATAAAACAATCTGGTTAAGAAATAGGCCAAGCATTGAAGGGTGAACCAATGGCAAAGGAAGACCTTTCTCTCTCTCTCTCTATCACTGTCCACTCTGTCCACTCTGCCTTTCAAAAAAAAAAAAAAAAAAAAAAGAAAGAAAGAAATAGGCCAAGGACTCAAACAGACATTTTTCAAAACAGCAAATCCAAATGGACAACAGACATGAAAAAATACTCAGGGTCACGAGCCGTCAGAGAAATGCAGATCAAAACCACAATGAGGCTTCACCTCACCCTCAATGGTTTTCATACAAAAATCAACAAACAATAGATGTTAGTGAGGACATGGGGAAAAAGGTACACTAATCCACTGTTGGTGGGAATGTAAACTGGTAAAACCACTATAAAAGACAGTGTGGAGATACCTCAGAGGTCTGAATATAGACCTACCATATGACCCAGCCATTCCACTCCTGGGAATATATCTAAGGGAAATGAAATCAGCATATGAAAGAGCTACCTGTACATCCATGTTTATCGCAGCTCAATTCACAATAGGAAAGACATGGAATCAACCCAAATGCCCATCAATTGAAGTCTGGATAAAGATATTATGGGATATGTACACCATGGAATAATACACAGCAGTTAAAAAACAACAACAACAAAGTCTGGTCATTTGCAACAAAATGGACGAAAACTGGAAAACATCATATTTAATGAAATAAGCCAATCCCAAAGGGTTAAATTCTATATGTTCTCTCTGACCTGTGATAACTAATAGAGCACCTAAAATACAACAGGTAGAAATGAATTTGACACTTTGAGAAGCTATGATTAAGAACAGCTCTTCTCTTGACTGTTGAGGAACAGCTTCTTATTCTATATTTTAATCTTTTCCTTTATGATTTATTCCTTATCTTTCTCTCTTCCATATGATTCGTTGAATGCTATACTTAACATAGAGTTAACCATATAAGTATAAAAATTGAAAATAGATCTTAGTAAAGATAAGAGTGAGAATAAGGAAAGGAAGAGGAATGGGGGTAGGAGTGAGGGTGGGAGTGAGGCACTGTGGGAAGAATCACCAAGATCATAAAGTTGTAATTGTGAAATGTATGATGTTTGCAACTGCAAAGCAGTATAGATCTACATATATTCATATGGACTTACTTTTAAGGGTACAACTTAACAAATAGCAATAAGAACACAAAATCTCTTAAACTTGCTGAAAAAGTAGCAGCTCAGGTGTTATAAATATCAAATGGATAGGAATAAGGGGTAAAGTGATCACTTAGATATGATCAAGAGTTGAAGTGATCATATAAATAGGACTAAATGTTTGGAAACAATTATAGACAGAATTAAAAAGGAGTGAAGGCTCCAACATGGGAAGCAGTCCTTACAGCAAACTCATAGAATGATAATTGCTTTAAGTAGCACTCTGACCTCAGAATCAGCCCTTAAGGCATTCCAGTCTGGCTGGAAAGCCAAGCGGGAGCATTTGAGGCATGGAAAGCCAAGACACTTTAGAAAAAAAAAGTTCTACATAAAGGACCCCTATGGGTGAGACCCCAGTATAAAGAAGTAAACACCAAAAAAGGAGGTATTTTTCTCTGAAGGGAGGAGAAAACTTCTACTTTGTTTATGGCCTTGTTGAGCTAGTGAACCCAAAAGGCTTCCATAGCCAAGGCACCTCATGTCAAGAGCCTTGGATGATCACTGAGGTCATACATAAGAGTTATTTGTTAAATAAACAGAAGAGTCACTGTGCAGTAACTTCCCAGCAGGATCTCTGTCCACAACATGTTGTATTATAAGACTTAACAGTAAAACTTGTTCTCAAGAATCACTTCCTTCTATTGTATTACATGGAGGATTTTATGTCTCATAAGTTATAGTTAAGTCTAAGAGCTCACAAAAGATTTATAATCCTTGGGTTCTTCTTTAAAGACAGTTAAGTTTCAAAATGGAAAGAAGAGGGAGGAAGGAGAAAAGAAGAAGGGAAGAAGAAAACAAAGCGAAATCACCTTTGAGAACAATAACAAAGAACAGCCCTTTTATAGAATGTTGAGGAAAAGTTCTCTTAGTTTTTATATTCCATTCTTTCTCTTTTTTTTCTTTCTTTCTGTTTCTTTTTCTTTCTTGGACCAAACCGAAGAGGGAGTAGGGAGGGTTGGGGAATGAGTGGGAGGGTGGCTGTCATGGGAAGAATTACTATGTTCTTAATGTTGTATTTATGAGATACATACAAACAATAAAAAAAAAAGAATGAGTGTTGCCTTTCATGTGTGCAGTTGGCTGTGCATAGGTGGGTACCCAGGAGAACAGAAAGAGATCTTTGTACATTTGTGTTTTGCCTGATAAATTCCTATTCTCTGATTTGTTCTTTATTTGTACTCCATGTAATTTGTTACCTGATGGCTTCTTTCCCATGGAATTCTGGAGACACTGCTTCAAAAGAGTCATCAGAAAAATGGTCAAAATCTATTTCATTCTCAAGGACCACGTGATTAGCTCTTTGGTGTTGAAACCAAAAAGAGGATTTCAGGAAAAACAAAGGAGAGTTTTGATGTCCATATTCAGCTATATAAGCAGGAGACAATTAAATAGGAGATCAGTCATCACCTCAAGGATTTCAATCACCCTAAGGCAGTAGGTCAATAAGACCTCTGTGATATTAAATCTGAATCCACATTATCATCATAAGGTATTGCTGGTGTTTTTAATATATACAGAACAATGAGGAAAAATAATTGAAAATATAACTGAAAGGTAGCCATCTAAAATGAGAAGCATATAGCATTGTTAATTAAACAAAAACTCCATCAAAAGCAAGTGTTTGGTTTAATGGTTAAAATGTCTATATTCCATATTGGAGTACCTGGGTTCCAGTCCTGGCACTTAACTCCAACTTCCTGCAATTATAGACCCTGGTATATATTGGTAACTCAAGATTTTGGGTGCCTGCCATCAATGTGGGAGGCATGGATTGAATTTCTGGCTCCCAGCCCATCCCAGCTCTGGCTGTTGCTGGTATTTGGGAAGTGAACCAGAGCATGGGAGTTCTCTCTCCTCTGCATAGCTCACCTCTCAAATTAATTAATTAATTTAAAATTCTTCAAAGTGGAGTGAGCTGTTTCAGGAGTAATTTAAATCTAGTATTATAAAACCTTCCACTTCAATGTGATCAGGTATTTAAATGTGTTTTCCAGAATTGCCAGTTATGCTGAGAAAAAGACATTGTATCATTGTGTGGGTGGTATTTTATCAAGCCAATAAGCAACTAATGATTCTAGGATACAAGTTATCTCAGAGGATCTGAAGGAGAAAATAAAATTAGGTGCACATTCTTAAGAAAGCAAGAAATGGGCAAATGCCTATTAATGAAAGAAAAAGCAAAGGATTTCCTGGAGCTAATTCTCATCAATATAAATACAGCTTTTGATAATCATTAATCCCAGCAGAAATAGGATAGAAAAAGCATAGGAAATGCTAATAACAATAGACAAAATTAAAGATGAATGAGCTACACAATAAGAATGATTAATTAAGCATATTTCTGATTTTACTTCTACTCAGAATATGAAATACTTTGTCAAATACATGTTCTACATAACGAGTCTGTTGAAATTTTTCTCACTGTATTACACTTGTTCATTTTGGAAGACACATCATATGTATTTTTCTAGCATAATAATATTCTGTTGATATCAATGCAAAATAGGTTAATTAATTATTGAGTATTTCAAAAGCAAAAAGCAATCCAGGATTAAAATTAGTGCGATCTTAAAATATTATAAGCCTATTTTATAAGACTATTGAAGAAACTAGATAGAAACAAAGAATACTCTGAAGTAAAAAAGATAACATTTTTAAAGTATATAGTAAAAGGAAAAGAGGAAGATAACAACAATTTACATTTGTATAGCACATACTAGATGGAAAGGCATGTTTACTCTCAAATTCCTTTATAAAAAGGATTATGTATGTATGGATGGATGGATGGATGTGTTTAAAAGGCAGAGCAACACACACACAAACACCTAGATCTTCCATCTGCTAGCTTGCTCCCCAAATGGCCACAACAGCCAGGTCTAGGCCAGGCTGAAGCCAGAAGCCAAAAACTCCATCCATGTCTCCCACATAGATAGAGATGTTTTAAGTGCTTGGGCAATCCTCTGCTGCTTTCCTAGGCCCATTAGCAAGTATGCTGGATCAGAAGCAGAGCAGCTAGAACTCAAATAAGCTCTCCAAAATGGGACACTGGCATCATAAGCTGCAGCTTAACCTGCTGCAACACAATGCTGACCCTACTTGTATTCTTTTTTTTTTTAACTTTTATTTAATGAATATAAATTTCCAAAGTACGGCTTATGGATTACAATGGCTTCCCCCCCCCCATAACGTCCCTCCCACCCGCAACCCTCCCCTTTCCCATTCCCTCTCCCCTTCCATTCACATGAGGATTCATTTTCAATTCTCTTTATATACAGAAGATCAGTTTAGCATACATTAAGTAAAGATTTCAACAGTTTGCTCCCACACAGAAACATAAAGTGAAAAATAATAGATGATTCTTTAAATGATGTACAATTTGGGACATGCTCAAGCTGACTTGCCCCAAATGGTAGAGTTAGAAACATACCAGGGGATTCCAATTCAATCCCATCAAGGTGGCATGTACCAATGCCATCTCACTAGTCCAAGTGATCAATTTCAGTTCACAATTGATCATAATAAAAGGACTAAGAGTCAAAGGGAGCACATAAACAAGTCTAGTACCTGCTTATTCTAACCGATAGAATAAATAAAGGGGAGAGTGATCCAACATGGGAAGCGAGATACACAGCAGACTCACAGAATGGCAGATGTCCTAAACAGCACTCTGGCCTCTGAATCAGCCCTAAAGGCATTCGGATCTGGCTGAAAAGCCCATGAGAGTATTTCAGGCATGGAAAGCCAAGACACTCAGGCAAAAAAAAAAAAAAAAAAAAAAAAAAAAACCTAAATGAAAGATCTCTGTGAGTGAGATCCCAGTGGAAAGAACAGGTCTTCAAAGAAGGAGGTACCTTTCTCTGAAGGGAGGAGAGAACCTCCACTTTGACTATGACCTTGTCTAAACAAGATAAGAGTCGGAGAACTCAAGGGGCTTCCATAGCCTTGGAAACTCATGACTGGTGCATAGGGAGATTACTGATGCCATAAACAGGAGTGTCAATTTGTAAAGTCAACAACAGGAGTCACTGTGCACTTACTCCTCATGTAGGATCTCTGTCCTTAATGTGCTGTACATTGAGGCTTAATGCTATAACGAGTACTCAAACAGTATATTTCACTTTGTGTTTCTATGGGGGTGCAAACTGTTGAAATCTTTACTTAATGTATACTAAACTGATCTTCTGTTAAAAAAAAAAAAGAAGAAATTAGCAATTCCCAACTTGACTCTCGCTGGGATTAAACATGACAACAGGTTTGACCTACTAGTATTCTTAAAATGATAATACAAGATCAGTAGGCATGGCATAATAATTGTTACTTTAAAATTAAGGCCAATGACCTTCAAAGAAACTTGAGAATTTGCCCAGGATATCACCACATTTCTATTCTCTTTTCTAAAGATTAATATCCTAAAAGGGGAAATAAGGAAAAATTTATAATATATACAAAGATAGAAACAAATGAATATCAAGTGCTCATGAATTATGGAATTCATATTGGATTAAGTGACTATTTTCAAGAGAATGAAACAAAAGCAAAAGGCATTGAATTATCTTATTTACAGATTTTTTTTCTTTTGACAGGCAGAGTGGACAGTGAGAGAGAGAGAGAGACAGAGAAAGGTCTTCCTTTTGCCGTTGGTTCACCTTTCAATGGCCGCCACGCCCGGCTGCGCTGTGCCAGCGCACCACGCTGATCCGAAGGCAGGAGCCAGGTGCTTCTCCTGGTCTCCCATGGGGTGCAGGGCCCAAGCACTTGGGCCATCCTCCATTGCACTCCCTGGCCACAGCAGAGAGCTGGCCTGGAAGAGGGGCAACCGGGACAGAATCCGGCGCCCCGACCGGGACTAGAACCCAGTGTGCCAGAGCCGCAAGGTGGAAGATTAGCCTGGTGAGCCACGGCGCCGGCCACAGATTTTCTTAACACAGTGATATTTTCCTGGAAATGACTGCTTGCATTGTTAGTCTCAGAGTTACAAGAAAAGATCTGAGAGACAAGCGACAAAACTGTGAGAACAGAGGTGATGCTCTGGCTACTTACACAAAGTTTATATAATTACACAGAGGAAGAGAAAAACAAAGAACAGTGAACATATCATTTGAGGTTTACAGTCTATGGGAGAACTGAAATGTCTATGAAAGAAATATGTTAATTCTACCAAATAGTTATTTCTAGTTTCATCATTTTTAGATGGAGGGTAGGCAATAAAAATTCATTTTAAAATACATTTTTCATACTAATAAGGTAGATGAATTCAGATTCATTTTTCAAAGGGAACTATAAGTTTTCAGTACATCATCAAAATCAAACATTTTTCATTTTTACATACTGAATATAGAGTTTTAGAAATTCAGATTCATCTTGTCAAAAAGAAAGTTATACATTTACACATTTTAGACCCAGAAACTATTACTATTACATTCAGACTATCGACCAAAGTGAATTTATAATTTTGGATAAACTGATATATTCTTTTCACATGTGAGTAAAGTTAATTATTGCAATACTTACATTTGTCTATTTGCACTTGATTGCTTGCCTTTTTGTATTTTGTTAGATTTTTCCCTGTTTATTTAATTGAATCATAAAAGCCAAAGTATGAATAACAATCTAAAATGCCCAGAAAAAAAGATAATTTCTATAACCAAAAACGAATAAAAATTCTCGGCAAGCCAGGTTGTTTGAATGAAATTTTTTTTTTTTTAAAAAGAAATTCAGATTCAAAGGGGACTTCAGAATTCACCTGAGCAAAGCTTTCTGTGTAATATGAATCTTATATTAAAAGATCCATTATTTCTTTTTCTTTTTCTTTTTTTCTTTTTTCTTTTCTTTTTTTTTTTTTTTTGACAGGCAGAGTGGACAGTGAGAGAGAGAAACAGAGAGAAAGGTCTTCCTTTTGCCGTTGGTTCGTTGGTTCACCCTCCAATGGCTGCTGCGGCCACAGCTGGCCGGCGCACCGCACTGATCCGATGGCAGGAGCCAGGTGCTTCTCCTGGTCTCCCATGGGGTGCAGGGCCCAAGCACTTGGGCCATCCTCCACTGCCTTCCCGGGCCACAGCAGAGAGCTGGCCTGGAAGAGGGGCAACTGGGACAGAATCCGGCGCCCGGACTGGGACTAGAACCCGGTGTGCCAGCGTCGCTAGGTGGAGGATTAGCCCAGTGAGCCGCAGCGCCGGCCATGATCCATTATTTCAAGGGGTAGAAAATATGTCATCCCCAGAGGCCAGAGGTTTAGTGTTTAGGATCCTCAATGGTGAAAGATAATCCCTTTACACTAAACCAAAACCCACTTACTTCATTAAGTCTTTGGTGTTTTTAATGTTCTTTTTTTTTTTTTTTTAGTTTTATTTGAAAGGCAGTTAGAAAGAGGAAGAGACAGGGAGAGGGATCTTTCATTTGCTGGTTCACTCTCCAAATAGCCACAATAGCTAGAGCTGGGCCAGGCCAAAGTCAGGAAGCAGCAGCTTCATCCAGGTCCCCCATGTGAGTGCAGGGACCCAAGCACTTGGGCCATCTTCTGCTGCTTTCCCAGGCCATTAGCAGGGAGCTGGATTGGAAGTGGAGCAGCTGGGAATTGAAATAGCACCTAGTGGCGTGCCTTTACCCTCTAAGCCACAGTGCCAGCTCCTCTAATGTTCTTTTAGGTAGAATATTGCCTTTGTTAAGCAATCATTGTCTCCAATATGGCTCTTCCAAGTCATGGTCAAAAATGTCACTGGAACATGTTATGTTCAAGATAATTGCTCTGTAGTTACTTTTCAATATCATCATCTAGGATATTATATTAAATTAAAAACTATGAGAGCACTTGAAAACATTCATGAAAAAATGGAATTAAAAGATTTTTAGGGCAAACTTTTTTGAAACACATGCACAGTTTTTTTATAATATGCAAAACATAAACTTTTTGAAGTACCCACATATGCTACCCTGCAGCCATCTGTGTCTCCTTCTGACCTTAAGGATTTCGGAATCATTTTCTCCCAGTGAACAATAGGTACCACTTCTCAGAAATCACATCTTAACAGTTCTCATAAACTATTTCCACTTTTTTCAAAAACCTTGGCCAATTTTCAAATTTGTTATCACAGCTCATATATAGTCTTCCTATCTATCTATCTATCTATCTAGTCTGTTTTTTTTGTTTGTTTGTTTTTTTTTTTTTTTTTTTTTGACAGGCAGAGTGGATAGTGAGAGAGAGAGAGAGAAAGGTCTTCCTTTTGCCGTTGGTTCACCCTCCAATGGCCGCCGCAGCCGGCACACCGCGCTGATCCGATGGCAGGAGCCAGGTACTTATCCTGGTCTCCAATGGGGTGCAGGGCCCAAGCACTTGGGCCATCCTCCACTGCACTCCCGGGCCACAGCAGAGAGTTGGCCTGGAAGAGGGGCAACCAGGACAGAATCCGGCGCCCCGACCGGGACTAGAACCCGGTGTGCCGGCGCCACAAGGCAGAGGATTATAGCCTAGTGAGCCGCGGTGCCGGCCATATCTAGTCTGTTTTTTTACAAGGCTTCCTCTGATACCCATGTTTCCTCTAAAACAAATTCACTGTTCTTCCCCTTAATTACTTACAATCACCTGAATTTTAAAGATATGACAACAGTGCAAAATAACTTCATTTAAAGTAACTGAACATCCTTTTTCATATATGAACCTTAAATTTATTATTACCATTTTCCACTCACTATTAAAAATTGACCTTCATAAATTAATAGGGAAATCATATTGTCTTCAAATTTTTATTTTTAAAGTTTATTTCATTCATAGAACTCATCACATATGCCAGAATCCCATATATTATTATGCTGTTATCACTACATTTTTTAAACTAAAATATTTTAATATACTATTTTATTAAAGCATTTTGCATCTGTTTCTAAACCTTTAGGCACTGCTGCTTTTTATATATTTCAGTTTTTTAATAAATTTTTGTCAGTTTAAGTTGTTCTATATTTCAGTTGGTAAAACTCTATGAAAATTTATGGATACTGAGTATTATCACATTTTATTTTATATAGATTAAGACAAGATTTTCTTTAATATCTTAATGTAATAAAGTTATTGTTGGAATAAGTTTCACTTGGTTATTATTTATTAATTACATAAAGCATTGTTGGAGTTTGTTTATGTTCATTTAGATTTTGTAAACTTATGCAAACATAAGAATGAGTGAAAATTTGGTTTTGTTCACTTAGCTTTTGTAAACATATGCAAACATAAGAGTGCCCTAAATATCCTTTTGTTGTACTATTTTTGTATTGCTTCTGTTAGCCTAAGTCTAATCCCAAAACATGAAATGAGTTCTTTCTTGTGGCTTCACTCCTCTGTTCATTTTCCCCACATTGACATTCTTCCTACTGAGTAGGCTTGTGATTTTTTTCATTTAGATTATATAAGGTTCATATGCAAGTATGACACTAAATATAATAGCAATAATGATAAGTCTCAAAATTTCTTATGCTGGGAGGATTCAAAAAAGCAGAGTGTTATTATTCTGTATCAGTCCCCTCAGAAACCATTGAAAAGGTCCCTTCCTTCCTTTTATCTTCCCATCTGTCTTTCTGCCTCTTCTCTAACATTTATTTGGGACATACTAAGAAGTGATAGCCAAATTCCAGAGCTGTCACAGGTAAAAAGTTGTTTCCATAGAAGAGATTGCACAAGAAATATGTAATTGCGACACTGTGTATTAATAGCACACTACTGTCTGTTAGCTTAGTTAAATGGGGAAGCACTTAAAGATTCCTAAGTTTAAGTATCAAGGACTAGAATTCATATAGCTCTGATAGAAGCAGTGATAGTATAATTATTCGTAATCTCCTACAAGTATCTTTTTAAAAAGAAATTCCATGAACTGTTTTAGTAAAACAAAGTCTCAAAAATAGCAATTCTATAAACAAAGTACAGAATATCATCAGCCTAGTTTTAGAAATTTTGAAATAAATACCAGATAATTTATATTCAATAATGGAGTACAGTTATTTAAAGGAAATGGAATTTTCTTGAACTATAATCATGTTACTACTTACTGGGCAAAATTTTGTCAAAATATAATGTCAACATCAAATACAGAAAAGCATCAAAAACCAGCATGAAAAGAGTGGCTGCTACTAGGTATGGGTTGTTTGGAGAATCCAAATGCGCATTAGAACATACATCATAGTCCAAATGTATAAGCTGAAAAAAAAGACACATTGAATTTTAAAAGGTTTAATATGGAATTAAGAATTATTATTTCTTATTTCTGCTTGACATTGGGCTTTCAAAGATAAAACAAACTCCTTTCTTTACCGTGCTCAGACCAATTGGAAGAATTTAGGAAGATAGTAGAGGCAGGAACTGCATACTAAAGGATCCTCAGTCAGTGGTGTGGTAATCTCCTAGGAGGAGGTAATAATTCCAGGGAGGTGATAACTGAGATGGACCCAATATAGAATTCTGTCAGGGCTAACAGAGAGAAAAGGGAGGACATTCCATACAGGCTTCAGAGTAAACCAAGGAAGTGTGATAGTCCTTCGGTTGTTGGAAAGAAGGCAGAAGAATGATTCCTTCTTGAATGATAATAACATAACTGAAACTAACTTTTCTGAGAGGAAGTTCAGTTTCATACAGAAATGACCAATTAAAAACAAAACTCATTTCAAATTCCTGTTTTTCAAATGCTTATGATAACATTAAGAGCGTTCATTGGAACAACAAATTAGAAGTTGAAACACAAATAGTGGAGTATCACACCCTAAAAATTTAGTGACTTAAGCAAAAACTATTCTGAGAGACAAAAAAAAGTCCTTTATCTTAAGTATTTTTATTTACATAATGGGTTGGAATTCATGCAATAAGCCCTAGGCATTAAAATTCCACCCCACTTGTACAATGTAGAGTGAAATAGTTGCCTTAACTCTTACCTGGGCCATTCCAGCAGTGAAGGCAAAAGGGCTAAGAAGACATAGGGACCATTCCAAAAATGCAGGAAGATGTCTGTACAATGCTGTGAATCCCAAGCTTCCCCAGAAGACAATAAGGAGAAAGATGACCAGCCCAGTAAGGAGAGGTTTCTTTATCAGCACACTCATCAGGAAAGCTAAAGTTATCTGAGAGGAAAGCAAAACTTCAGTTGGTTTATAGTTCTTTAAAAACATCCATATCACAATAAAAGGAATTTCATATTGTGAAGATCATTTTTCTACCCATATATGGTGTCTTATGCAAATATAGCAAACAGAACAGAAGAGGTGAAACCAGGTTGGGTGACACATGATTGACAGAAAGGGGGTATTAAATTTGGCAACTCACCAAAGACAGGCCATAGAGTAGAAAAAGTGTGAAGATCAGCATGAAATCAGTTAGGATGACAACTTCTGCAGATTTTATAATAAGAGTCATCAAAACGGCCATAATACTGATGAAACCAGCATACACCAAACCCCAGGAAAGCCTAGCACAGAAACAAAGCATCAGTTGAGGGTATTGTTTCTTCACCACTTATTTCATTTTTCAGCCAATGATTTGTGAAATTCACCATTTATCAAGGGTGAAGAGAATGCAATAGCTAACAAATGGGAAAACTTCACTGGCCCAAAGATCATATTCTATAGGGGAAGGTAGGTAATAACCAAGGAAACAGAAAAAATAGACTGCTAATTGCAAATTACGAAAGGAATAAACTGGGTGACACCATAGAAGTTATTGGGATAGGTTTCCAGGAGGGCTTCTTCAGGGAAGACGTCTATGACAATCTGTCAGTTCAAAGACAGCTTCCTTCAGTAAAGTAATTGCGTAAACAACATGACCAAAGTTTAGGCAAATCTTTTGTCTAAAGAGCCAAATTATAAGTATTTTATACTTTGCAGGTCATGTGACTTCTGTTGCAAAGACTTGATGTAGCTCAAAAGTAGTAATGGACAATATGTAGATGTTGTAGATGATGTTCTTTTCCAATAAAATACATTTGTAGAAAATAAAATTGTTTATAAATTTTAATGTGCCACAAATTATTTTCTTTTAAATTATTCTAAGCATTTAAAAATGTAAAAATCATTCCTAAGTAGAGATGTTACAAAAACAGGCAATAGTTTGCCAACCTTTGATATAGATGATTAGACAGAGATACAGATAAACACATAGACATAGAACATATATACAGAGATACAGATGGGTAAAAAGATAGGGGGCTTTCCTTATTATCAATGCCAAAGAAATGAGAAGACACTTCTTTAAAAGGAAATAGAATAACCTTTCTAAATTAACACAGTCTTAGGTTCAAGTTTTCTCTGCCAGATTATAACACTGAGAAGTAGTTACTTAATATCTCTAAACTTGTTTCTTCTATTAGAAAATAATAAGATAATCAAATGAAACTATGAATTTTTATGAATTTAACATGGAAATTAGTTTACAATGGGTCCATATTCAACAGCTAATTTCCTCTTATTTAAAGTAGGAAATGCCACCATGTTTTGGGAATTCTTATTTTCAGTGCTTAATTGTAATGATTGCTTTTTCAGAACATACTTTTATTTATCTGAAATTATCTATCTGTGTCTATCTGTATGTATATCTATCATTAAATGTTGTTGAAATAAAATGCCATAGTTTTTTCCTGTGGGAGAAAATAATCCCTGACTTTTAAAATGTTTATTCATTGAAATTTTTTTATAAATCATATTGGCTACTTTTCTCTGACTTCTTGAAGATTTTCATCATTTAAAAATGTGGTGGCCACAATTTCCTGCAGTATTGAATTATATAACTTTAATACAAAAAGGAACAGAAAAATTCCCATTCTAGATCAAATCAGCAATCCATCTTCTCCACTACTACATTCAGTATATTAAATACTTTTGTAGAAAAATACATTTGTGTATATCAGCAACAATAAAAATATGTTGGGGGCCAGCGCTGTGGCGTAGTGAGTAAAGCCACCGCCTGTGGTGCCTGTATCCCATATGGGCGCCGGTTCGAGACCCGGCTGCTCCACTTCTGATCCAGCTCTCTGCTATGGCCCGGGAAAGCAGTACAAGATGGGCCAAGTCCTTGGGCCCCTGCACCCACATGCGAGACCTGGAAGAAGCTCCTTGTTCCTGGCCTTGGATCGGCGCAGCTCTGGCTGTTGCAGCCATCTGAGGAGTGAACCAGCGGATAGAAGACTCTCTCTCTCTCTCTCTCTCTCTCTCTGCCTCTCCTCTCTCTGTGTAACTGTGGCTTTCAAATAAAATAAATAAATCTTTAAAAAATATTTTGTCTTCATATTCAACAATATTCTTTTAAAAGGTATGCAGCATATGCCTAGAACTATCCTATATATACGACATATCGTATTTAACATTGTGTTAAACAATGTGTATGAGGCAAATCCAAGGTTCAAACCATTGCTTTCTGATTCCAGAACTCATGATTTTATTTCTCCCTGGATTTTATACACCACTTCACTAAAGCCATTAAAACTTTTTCTCATTATAAACAAGGTGCTTGGTTTCCTTTCTTGCATCTTTATCTTCTCATGTCATAATACATCTCAAAGTTAAAATGAGTGCTACCTAATGCAGTGTCTAATTTTTCTTAAACATCATGTAAAGTAATTTTAAATACATTTCTTTTCTTTTGTCCTCATGATCAATGAGAGGTAGATATTATCAACAATTTATAAAAGAGAAAAAAGAGATATTAAAATTTTAAGTAACTTATCCAGGATGGTAGCTACTAAATGCTGAAATGGAGACAGCCCTGGCTTACTGTGCTGAGTTCTGTGTTCTTACACTGCCTCCCCCAAGAAACTCCTCTCTTTACTTAAAGAATATTATAGATTTTTTTTTTTTTTGAAAGGCAGAGTGGACAGTGAGAGAGAGAGACAGAGAGAAAGGTCTTCCTTTGCCGTTGGTTCACCCTCCAATGGCCACCGCAGCCGGCGCGCTGCGGCCGGCACACCGCGCTGATCCGATGGCAGGAGCCAGGTGCTTCTCCTGGTCTCCCATGGGGTGCAGGGCCCAAGGCCTTGGGCCATCCTCCACTGCACTCCCTGGCCACAGCAGAGAGCTGGCCTGGAAGAGGGGCAACCGGGACAGAATCCGGTGCCCCGACCGGGACTAGAACCCGGTGTGCCGGCGCCGCAAGGCGGAGGATTAGCCTAGTGAGCCGCGGCGCCAGCCTAATAGATTTCTTCCTTCAGTGTCAAATAAATGATGGGTCATTCAACATGGGGTAAACATCAGTCACGACTTCTAAAAAAGTATCTGAAACATAAATTTCATTGAATATCAGAAATTTTCATTTCTTGGATATCTGGATTCTGAGAGTCATTGTCTGTATTGTTAGTGCCATGAGTGCTGGCAGACATCTGTAGGATTAGGTTTCCTTTAAGGTAATTTTACATATATGTATATGTAAAAATTATATATATATGAAACATATATATGTATATATGTAGTTTCAATATCAAGCCTGTAGATCCACCAAAACCACTCATTCATGTTGCACTATTTTATGAAAACATCAAGACATCAAGTCTGAATATGATCCTTCATAGGTCTGAGAGTCACCAGCTAAGTTGTCTTGTTTTTGCTGTGTGATAGATTGTAATCATATGATTTACCAGAATGCTGACTCTCGAAGTCCCATCATTTTCATCAATGCCTTAATATTTTGTCTTTCTTGTGTAACATTGACTGATAAATAATATATGAATGCAGAAAAAGAAATAATGCAGACAAAAATGAAAAAATTAGTTGCAACTCCTCCTTGGGCAACAAATGGTACTATCTTCATAGTTATACCAGTAACCAACATTAACTCCTCCATCACTGAATGATTTGTTGTGATCTAAAGAAAGATATAAATTAATAAATTATTATCAATCATCTGATTATAGCCTCATGTCTCTTCTGTGAATTACAAGGAATAATGTACATTCCATGTATGCATCCTTCATAGGATACACCTTTCCTGGAAATATTCAAGTTTTGTCTTGACTCCATAGAAATACCTACTTATCATTGTCATTGGACCAAATCCTATTCATGCTTTAAGATCAGTTGGAATGTCATTTCAATTAGTAAGTATTCCCTGATATTTCTCAGTAGAGTATCTCCTTCTTTATTATTTTCCCCCTATGCATTTAAAATTCCATGACAGGATGTAGGGGGTTTGATGCAAGCATTAAAATGCCACTTGGGATGCCAAAATCCTATATCAGAGTATCTGAACTCAAGTTCCAGTTGTGCTTTGATTCCAGCTTCCAGCTAATGCACACCCTTGGAGACAGCAGGTAATGGTTCAAGTAGTTGGTTCCCTGCAACCCACATGGGACACCCAGATTGTGTTCTGAGTTCCTGGCTTTGGCATGACCCAGCCCTGGCTGTTGTGGGCATTTGGGGAATTAAATAGTAGATAGAAGATCTCTCTGTGTCTGTCTCTCTCCATCTCTCTGCCTTTCAAATAAATGAAAAAGAAAAGAAAAAAAAAATCCATGATAGAATCTAAACTATTATTATGACTGTATATCCATACTTCTAACATACCCATTACAGTATCTCCAAAGAAATGTGCTTGTGTTCTGCTATTCTCTGGTTCTTAGTACTTTGTACAGTGGTATGAACATAAAAGCATTTTGGTATATTATGCCTAATCAATGAAGTGAATAAATGGTCGAATGGAATAATTTGTTATATAACCAACTATCAAAATTTAATTTATAATGCAGTTAGGTTCTTTTAATTTAATGCTCACTTCTATGATAGCAGCATTAATGGCAGCTTGAAAAGCTACAAAGCCTTTCTCCCAGAAAACTGAACTCGCACACGTTATTTTTTCATCCAGTACTTGACAATGAGCTTCAGAGAAAAAGAATACGCCCATTATTATGGGATGAGAGAATCTTGGTTATAGGAAAAATAAAAAGCTAGAATGTCCCAAAGGATACTCAAAATTCATGCTAATATTGTAAAGTATATCCAGAGAGATTATACCTGAATTTCTTTGTTAATATGTTTAAGATTAATTTTTCATGATTTTTTTATTAAGTCTTATAATTCTATTAGTCAAGAATATTTTTGATGGGCCAGTGTTGTGCTGGGTTGAGCTGCTGCCTGCAACACCAGCATCCCCTCTGAGTGCCAGTTCAATCTTGGCTATTCCGTTTCTGATTCAGCTCCCTTTAATGCACATGGGAAAGCAGTTGAAGATCGCTCAAGTGTTTGGACTGCAGCTACCCGTGTGGAAGACCCAGATAGAATTCCAGACTCCTGATTCCTGGCTTTGGCCTAGCCAACCCCCAATCATTGCAGCCATTTAGGAAGTAGACCAATGGATGGAATCTCTCTCTATATATTTCCACTGTAACATATGCCCCCTACTGGCTAATAACATAATAGCAAAAATTGTGTTTTGTTTTTTGTTTTTATTTCTCTACAAGTAAAGTTACCTGAATGATCTCTGTGTTCTTTCATCTTGGGGATTCTATGCCCCCAAGAAAACTTTAAGTGATATGAGAAGGTATCCTTAAAGATGACTCTCACTGCATCCGTTGATTCATTTAAGCCCAATTCGTCCGTGCTTTTTTCAGCACGCCACCCCATGACTGTTCTTCCTGCAGTGTAGAAAAAGGGAATAGTTAAGATTTCTATGTGGCCAAAGACAGCATGCCATATCCAATTATGTTTAAATAATTTTATACTAAATATAGTTCTTTCCTAGTGGCAATGATGAGCTTAAATATGAGTTTTACATTTAGAGGTGAGGGGGTGGATTTATAATGTTCTAGAAAAAAAAGTGTCATATAGCAAACACTTTTATTTTAAATATGTTATGCCTTTCCTAATAAACTTTTTAACCAATGATTTAAAGAACAATGAATTTGAAATAATAGCAATGCCAATGCTTCCATTAAATTCATTTATAGATAGACCTATCTAAAGTTGAATTACATACTGCAGTTATGATATATATTTTTTCAGTAGACAGTATTGTCAATGTGGCCAAATTTTCAATCACAGCATGAACGTGTTAAATGTTGACAGTGTCTTCTTAAAAGACTTTGTTTATTTTAAAATATGTAATGTAAACAGCTGCCTGTTACTAATCAGCACTACATGATTTAACCCATATTTAACAAGGTCAGGATCTTCTTGAGTTTGATCTCCTGGTGCATTTCAGCATGTTCCTTTGTCCTCTGTATTTCCTACAGTTTGGTACCTGGATGCAGACCTAGATGTAACCTTTTCACTAGACTGTGGGTGGTGGCATATTGCTTTATTAGAGGCTCATAATTTCTAAATGTCTCTTGAGACAGTAGCAACTGTTGACATTCATTGACCATAATAATGAATTCAATTGAAGATTTTTAAATGGTAATGCTCTATTTCTGTTATTTTAAAATTTCTTAGCAGAAAACATTTACAAAATAAACTTTTGCATAATCTATGTGGTGATGAAATAATATAGTTCACATAGGTTACATGCTGGAATTTCTCTTTTAAAAATTTTCACAATAAAAAACAACTTACTACCAAAAAGTTAAATAGTTATAATTTTCTTTGAATATAATTATGAAACCTGGAACTTAAATATATATTTGATGATTCTGAAATCATTGCATTTACATTTGTTGAATCCCGACTTGTGCCAGATTGGCTGTGGAGTCTTTTAACATTACCTGTTCTTGATGATTTCCTAGCTGTCTAAAATTACAAGTGTGTGCTCTGTAAATCCCTTATCCCAGACCTTAACATCTGCTTTCTTTTATACTGCGACTCCTAGGTTTCAAGGACATAGGTTGAGAGAGCAAGGCAACTTCATAATTATCAATTTGGTCTATCCCACTACATTTATAATGGCCTCAGAAGAGCATTCTACTACTACACAACAAAATAATTACTATAAATAGCTTCGATTGCTGTATTCACATTCCCAGTCTTTTTTTCCAGTGAATATTTGTTAGCTCTTAAGGGGATCACCTTAGGTCCATCAACTATCCCCTTGCTTCACTTTTTTCTCTTACCATTCCCAAAGATACTGCTTCTTATATTTGGGGAAACAATGAAACACCTAGTTACTTGCTTCTGTTGTAAACATTGCCCATGAGTTTTATGTATTTTGCAGTCTAGTATATTTTTCCACTTTTATATATTTGAAGAGAGTAAAAACTATACTGTCATTACCGTCCAATCTTTCCAGAATGTTCTCACATTCACTCAAATACCTCTGGACTATCTTTTGATATATACTACAGTAAGGACAACTGTTTTAACAAATAATTTCCTGTATAAGACACTAGTGAACAGAATAAGAAAACCTCCTTGATATTGGAAAAGAACATATATTAATACTGTTAATCAACTCTCGATACTTGAACTTTTAACACAGTTCTTCAAGGAAACACTAAGAAGTGTATTTTTCAAATAAGAAAATTCCCATAAAGTAGCAGAGAATATACCCTTCATGAATGGGACTGAAGCCACTTTGCTCATTATCTCTTGAGTAGTTTTGGTTTCAGGTGTAAATACAATAATATAATTAGAATCATTAAAATTATCTACACATCCCAGATCCATTGCAGGCATTTGAGAGTCAATAACTTGATGTAAATTGGAAGAAAATAGATATGCAAACACTACTAGAAGAAATGAGAAAAACCATTCCTATACAATGAGAGAAAAATGAAAATTTTTAGTAAGAATTCAAAGTGTCATTTTCTTTTCCTGTTTGTTTACATTTCTTCATGTTGGCATTGTCTGTCCTATCCATAGGTCAATTATATAGAAGCATTACAATTTTCCTTTGATTATTTTTTAAACTTTTCATTACTTGCAAATTAACTCTAGATTAAATTCTTCTTCTCTTTGACTTTTGCCCTGAACTTCTGAACTTGTGTCTTTATGATATTCAAATGAATTTAGATGTTGGCAATATACACCTGTAACCATTTTTTTTCTGCAGTATACACATGTAACTATTTTTGAGGGATTTTTCTGAATATAAATTCTTTTAAAAATCCTTCAGTAAGACATATGAATAGAATAGTGAGAAATTTAAATGTTTAATAAAAATAAATTTTATTGTTTACAGACCTCATCTATACTCCTGAGGAACAATGGTTTTTTTTTTTTTTCTACTTACTATTTGTTGAATTCTTTATTTAGTGAAGGCTTAAGCTTGTGATTATAAAGTAAATTGAAAGAAAATCATTGCAAAAATTGAAAGAAAAATAAGAAAGGAAAGAGAGAGGGCAGGATCAAAGAAGGGTAGGGTATGTAGTATCATCATGTTCTTTAAACTGTATATATGAAATTGATGAAATTTTTCCTCTTTACATAAATAAAAAATTTTAAAAATCATTTGAATAAAATAGCAAATTCCAGAATTTGAAAAAAAATTAGCCTGTTAAATAGAATTAGAATATACATGAAACATTAAATAATGAAGCTATAGTATTTATATTACTTGAGAAAATATTTTTACTCCTAAATATGAGATCACATATAGAGATTATGAACCATACCAACAAGGTGTCTCTTTTTATTCTCCACTTTTTAAGACAGTTCTTGCAAAGAAGAGCCCACGTTTGATGACGCAAGCTTATGTGCCTCTTGCTCATTTTGACCTATTTATTTTTAAAAAGGAAAGGAAATAAATGTGAAGGAATGAAACAGAAAACATTGCACAATCAACAAAAAAATTCAAAATTATTATAGCTGTTTCTAGTTGCATGCCTAGAAAAGAAGGAAGGCAAAAGGTGAAAGAAACAGAGAGAGAAAAGAAGGGAGATAGATGTTCAAAACCTAATATTGAAATGAATAAAAGTTTTTTTTTTTTTTTTAATTTGACAGGCAGAGTTAGACAGTGAGAGAGAGAGACAGAGAGAAAGGTCTTCCCTCCATTGGTTCACCCTCCAAATGGCCGCAACGGTCGGCGCGCTGCGCCGATATCCAAAGCCAAGAGCCAGGTGCCTCCTCCTGGTCTCCCATGTGGGTGCAGGGCCCAAGCACTTAGGCCATCTTCCGCTGCCTTCCTGGGCCACAGCAGAGAGCTGTAATGGAAGAGGAACAACTGGGACTAGAACCCGGCGCCCATATGGGATGCCGGCGCCGCAGGCAGAGGATTAACCAAGTGAGCCATGGCGCCAGCCCCAAAAGTTTTAAAAATATATCATTTACTTCTCATTGGACTATTAAAAATTAGAAAATTGAATGGTATTAGGCTTTGTTAACCCTACAGTGCTGGTTACTATTAAATGTTCTAATGGGGATAAAGGAAATTAATATACTGCTGGTGGGGTACAGACTTGCACAGTCATTTGGTGCTTAATTACTAATTCATTACTACTTAGCAAAATTCTACCATGAATCAGCTGTTTTCCTGGGTATATGTTCAAAGGAAATTCTCACATGGGTTCATGAGATCTACAAGAGAATCTGTACAAGGATGCCCTTCATGGTATAGGTTACTGTGGCATCCTGTTGTAAAGCAAACATTGATGGGTATAGCCCAGAGAGTATCCACGAGCAATAGATTGGTGTCTACCTATCAACAAGAAGAGATATAAAAACACAGTGTCAATTCAAAAAGAAAAGACATGAGGGAGTGTTATATCACCATATCATTTATATCCATTTACAGAAATGGAATATATGTTTCTCAAAATGTCCAGACTAAATGATCACTAAAAAATTCAATAAAGAGATTATTTTGGTTGGAGGAAGTAGGAAAGGCAGTTGAGTGTGAAATATGAGTTGGAAATGCAAGGACATAATCAAAACAAAATAGGATTCTTTTTAAACACACTCATTCCATGTGTCATGAATTCAAGAACACAATTAACTCAATTCTCTGTAGATGTTTTAAAGTTAAAGTTCAAAAGAGGTCCAAGACAATCATCATGAAACACACACACACACACACACAACCAAACAATAATTCCAATAGCAAAACAAAACAATAAATAATTTTTTTAAAAAAACCAAAGGAAATAGACAGAAAAATGTCATGAAAATTTCTGAGAATTTCACACTGTATTCATCTGCTATGTATTTGAGCTCCTGATAATGCAGAACAGATTATGATGGCCTGAAAACACTGACTACAAATTAACTACATTTCCTATTAAGAAATCAATGCTGTTGTAAACCTCCCTATCTAAAAGGGTTAAATATATTGCCCTAGTGACTACTTTCTGTGAATTCATACATGTATGAGAAAATATTTATGAATAAAAACAATTATATATGTAATTATCACTAATGTACTTATTTGTTTCTGAGGGTTTGGATTGACTTGCTTCCACTGCACACATCAAGGAAAAATAGTTTCAATGATAGTAACACAAAACATCTATGCAGTTAAGCCTTGGGCTTAGAGAGCGGGACGTCCAGCTTCCCAGTGCCGTCCTTTGGAGCGTGAGCTACTAACGAGAGAGTTAAAAATGGGTGATGTTGAGAAAGGCAAGAAGGCTTTTGTTCAGAAATGTGCCCAGTGCCACACTGTGGAAAAGGGAGGCAAGCACAAGACTGGACCAAATCTCCATGGTCTGTTCGGGCGGAAGACAGGTCAGGCCATTGGGTTCTCCTACACAGACGCCAACAAGAACAAAGGCATCACCTGGGGAGAGGACACTCTGATGGAGTATTTGGAGAATCCCAAGAAATACATCCCTGGAACCAAAATGATCTTCGCTGGCATTAAGAAGAAGAATGAAAGGGCAGACTTGATAGCTTATCTCAAAAAAGCTACGAATGAGTAATAGCTGGCCACTGCCTTATTTATTAGAAAACAGCAATGTCCTGTGACTTTTTTTATGTGCGCCATAATTTAATTCTCATACACCAGAATTCGGATCATGAATGGCTGACAAAATATTTTTGTCCAACAGTCTAATATTGCCTTGTGTGGTTAAATAGGAAATTTTGGTAGTAATTCCAGTTCAGTGAATGCCCTCACTGTTTTCCCCTACTGAGGATATGATTGGACTTACCTAACAAAACTTGTCAATGCCATCCCAAAACCTGTTGGGAGATTGGATTTAGATTTAAATGCTGGGGAAATTGCCTCACTGTCTCAGAACTGAACAAGATTCACTTGTTCTTTACCTACCTAAGGCAAGAGCTGAAGACATTTGGAAACGTCTACTTCGTATTTTTGGTCTTAGCTGTGGCAATCTCATTAGAATTTCCTGTATCTAAACTTCTGCCTTTTACTTACTGAAAGGCATTTTAGTGTGGTTTATGCATATCAAATAAAGAATATTTAACACTTCTCACATTTTATAGATGATCTGTAAGGTCAGGTGCTTTGAACGTCAGCATGACCAGGTGGAGTAACAAGTCACACTTGCTGTTGAATTCTTCACTACCTTAAACTGAGTTAGAATTCAGGATTGTCTATAAGCAGTCATTTGGAAACACATAACACTGAGGAGCTACTGTATGTTTGTGTTTAGTAATGCTGCTTTTGCCAGCTCAGTGGAAGGACTAAGGTAGAGGAGACACCATCAGCACAAAACCTCTAAAATATGTGATCACAAGACTTAAGAGAATTAAAAACAATTATAGATCATGAAAAAACAAATCTATGCAGTTAAGATTAAATTGCTTTGAATAGGAAATTAGTTGTAAATAATAATAATTCATTATCAAAAGATAGCCATTTTCCAATTAGCTAAAATTCCTGTTATTCACAGACTTATAAGTGCATATCACAACAAATCAGTTCAAAATTCTTACAGACTTAGTGTGGTAAACAAGATCAATAACAACAGTTTACTAAGTTTTTGGAATGGAAATATTCTCAAGCCAGTTAAAAAACAATTCAAAACTCAGAAAATTGTGTATCTTCCAATGTTTAACATTTCTCTGGCAAAAAAATAAATAAATAAAAACAAACAAAAAATAATAAAGATTTCAAGTAATTTTGTAAATAGTTCATACTTACATTCCTTTCACTTTATCCAAAACCTTGTTAGATAATATATGCAATCATGGAGCAAAATAGAAAAATCTTTACTCCAACTGACTATTTAGTGATACACTACAAAATATTCAGATGATTTGAAAAATAAAATGATCCAATAATAACTTATAGCATTTAATGTCTTCCACCCAAGTGTTTGGCATTCCTATTTCTATTATTATTTTTATACATTCAAAATAACCACAATTTTAAAGGTCGACTTACTCTCAGGAAAGCTGAAGAAAAAATCTAAAAACACAGTTCATCCATGAGTTGTTGCATGTCCTGGAGAAGAATTCCCATTTCTTTTGGGTCACTACTACATCATGCCTTTAATTTCATGTTTATTGTGAATAGTTCCTTTTTCAGACTGATTTCGGAAGAGGATTATGGTCTCAATTCAGCAAGGCTGCCAAAAACTTTATGCTCACATGGTTACTTCTTCGCTGTTTTCCATTTCTTTGTCTTCTGCCAGCCCCTCAGCAGGGAGTTCACAGTTGCAGATGCTGGGTGGGACATATCCAAACATTAGGAACTACAAAACCAAGGCGAATCCAGTCTTTCTCCATTGGATTTTTGATACACGGCCCTACTGGGGACGCGGAACCTCAACACAATCTTTTAAATAAAGATTAAAAATCCAGTTCAGAGAAGAGTAAAACAATGTGGAAGAGAATACTTTTTTTAAATGACACATAAACATACAAATTGATCGGAAAAGGAATGTACCTCAAAATTGATAGGAAAATACCTCAAAATCTTCCACAGATTCTTAAAAGGTGGATCTAGAAGTACAGTAGAGAAGCAATGCAGTTGTTTTCAGGGTAACAAACTTTGAATTTTCATCTGCATCCCAGTTGCATTGCAAGTATGGTAACTGCAGCAATTTCTTTGGAATAGAAAATAGAATTTTTGGAGTTATGGCAACTTTGTTGTTTCTGCAACAGGTCCCAGGAAATAAACTACTTTCTCTATAATTAATCACTAATTTTTAGTATGTCCTGCTTTCCAATATTGTTAGAGAAACATTTTAACAGTAAAATCTGCTATTCATCTTTCTTTTGGGAACAGCTTGTGGAAACATGGCTGTTCCAAAATTCCTTGTAATCTATCAGGATTACTTTTGGCTGAAGAAGAAAGGTGAAAAAAGTCCATTATCTTTCTGCTTGTGGCCAGTAAGTCAGTTAAATTCGTCTGCACAATAGTTACTTCCTGAACGCATAATTAAAGGGTCTGAGAAATGAATATATGCAATTCTTAAATTCTTGCATGTAATCTTCCCTACCTACTCCCATTTCCCCAATGTTTATTTAATCATAGTTAAGCTTTTGTTAATTATTTATATGAAATCTGAAAATTTCACAGCAAGCAATGTTTGTGGAAACAGACTAAACTCATTAATTCATAATATTGTCAAACAAAAAATGTTTCTGTATGTCTTTTGTCTTTTGTAGAAGATAAGAATGATCACATTAATAGTATTGCCAACATTCTGCACACAGGGAATATGGTTTAGGAAACGTCTTGTTTCCAAGGAGAACTTTGTAGCTAATTAAAGCTTTGAAGTTCTAGCCGTAATAAACGTTCAGTTCTGAACTCTATTCTTCTCATATATGTTGGCCTCTTCCTTTACAAGTTTTGTAATCTCTGTAATAGAAAAAAACTCATTCTCATTCATCTTTTTTAAACAAATATTTATTTATTTATTTGAAAATCAGAGTTACAGATAAAGAAGGAGAATCGGGGAGACAGACATCTCCCATCTGCTGGTTCACTCCCCAATGGCTGCAACAGCCAGGGCTGAGCCAGGTCGAAGCCAGGAATCAGAAGCTTCATCCAGGTCTCCTATGTAGGTGTCAGGGGCCCAAGTATAGGGGCAATCTTCTGCTGCTTTTCTCAGGCCATTAGCAAAGAGCTGATTTGCAAGTGAAGCAGCCAGGCCAGGAACCGGCACCCTGTGTGCTGCTGGTATCGCAGGCAGCCTTACCACTAGGCCACAGTGTCAGTTCCATTAACACTACCTTGACTTTTTCAAGTTTATTTCCTCTTCTTAACAATCTACAGAATGAGTTTGTCAATTAAAAAAAAAAATCCTATGAGCTTTCAAAAATGAAATGACATTGATTTCATAGCATAATCCACCTATTTAACAACCACACATTTTATTTACTGTGTGCAAGGCACACTTAAATGTCAACATATTTATGTAGGCTCTCCATTTTACATTATGGACAAAGTGAGTCGCAGAGTTTAAATAATTTGCCCCAGTTTACACAATTGGTGAGGAGCAGAACTTGAGTTAAAACCCAGACCCTCTCCAGTCTGTAAGTTGAAGTTGAAATTGTTCTGTTCTCTCACGTCTCTGTTAGTGCCATCATGCCAGTCTCATTTCAGGTACATTTACCTTTCCCCTTGCCTTTGGCTTCATGTATTTTGCGGCAATATTCTCCATTGCCAGGAGTCTCACAAATTTCATGTGGTATGTTTTACATCAGGCTCCAACATGCCGCTTGGAATCCTTGTTAGCCATTACGCAGAGTACTTGTCATCCTGGGACCTGTGTGCGGCTCTCCTCAATGCTATGTGCAAAAGCAAAATAACTCTATTTGCAAAATGGGGAGAATGAAGCATTCCACCTGCCTGATAAAGAATGACAGAATATGTCTGCTTGTTTCTCAGGGACTTTTCTTTCTTTTCCTCCTTCCTCACTCAGGCCCAGCTACAATACGTGATTACAGGTTTTGTCACATACCCTTTAAAAAGTCTCTCTCTCTCTCTCTCTCTCTCTCTCTCTCTCTCTCTCGTCACTCTGCATATGAAATAAATAACTTTAAAAAAGAAAACATGAAAAGTTTCTCTTTTTTCCTTAATAATACAGTAAACAAATTCTAGTTGGTACTGTTTTATACTTTCTGCCTTGAAACATCCTTTGTAGGATATATTCCTGTCTTCTACTTTTATTTGCATTTGCACTTCTCCAGTATATTTTGACAAACCTGTTATCTGTTCAGAATGCCTCTTCAGACAGTACAGTTGTATTTTTCTTTTTATTTGCACATTTTTCACTTTTCATAGCGGGGACTTAAGTCCCTTGGATGACGGGTCATTTCTTCCAGGTAATTTATAGTCTCTTTCAATTCAGCTTCCCTGTGGTTTCCCGTTTTTTGTTTTCTACACGGATGTTTTCTCTATTCCTTTTTTAGCTTCCCCTTTCATCCACCTCTTATCTAACCAGTTCCAGATTTGTACTTTGGCCTACTAGTGAGTATCCTTAAATATTAAGAGACATTGCTCTGGCAATGTGAAAAATCAGTCTTGTATCTCTAGCTATCTTCTTACCCATGCACCCTGCAATTTGCAGTATAAATTGTTGAGCAAATTTGAACTAGAAATCTTAGCACTACTCCTTGCTAATTGTACTGCCAGGCATGTGACTTACCCTGAAAACCTCAATAATTTACCCAGGAAGCCTCAGTTTTCTCATCTGCGAGAACCAGATGATAATGATAGGACCTAACAGAAGTAGTTTTAGAACTGGAGATGTTAGGATTTTATCAATCTGATTGACAAAAAATACATTACGTTGACAATTTAACATTCATTTCTTAAACTACTTGTGATATCAAACCTATTTTAACATATTTTTTGCCATTTGCAAGTGTTGTTCACCATAACAAATCTGAATCTGTCCATTTTCTCTACATATATTTTTGTTACTTTTTCATTTCATTTTTTTTGTTTTTTATTTGGACTGAACATTTCTTGCATTACTCACTTTAAAAATAGTATGGTATTGCCAGTTCACAACTAGTTTTGCTACTGAGAATGCTTACATAACTTTAATTCTCAATAATTTGAAGTATTTTGTTGATCTCCATAGGATATTTTAGAGGTTTCTCTTTAATCACAAGGGTATGAAATTTCATAGCGATTACTTAGGTGTAGGTTTTGTTTTTGTTTTTGTTCCGTGTGGCACTTTGTGGTCACTTGAAACCAAAGCACTTGTTTCCTTTGTATTTTAAGTTCTGGGGAATTTTCAGTAAACATTTTAGCCAAATATTGTTTCTTTTCCAGTCCTTCTGTTCTTTATGCCTGGAAGTTTATTAGATACGTGAACTACGTCGTCTGTGTCTCTCTTTGGCCCACCTTCCATCTTAAATGGGAAAGCAGGTAATTTTCAGACTACATGTGAACAACCCTTCCTATCTGTAATTTGTATTGTCACTCCCATTTCTGACTTGACAGTATACTGCCTGCTTTGAAAATGCATAAGGCTTTTTATCATCTACTCTCTGCTTTCTCTTTTGCCTTGTCCCATTTCTCTAACTCCAACCATACATAGACATGACTTTAAAAAAGATTTATTTATTTGAAAGGCAGAGTTACACGGGGGACGGGGTAGGGGAGACAGAGATATCTTCCACCTGCTGGTTCATTCCACAAATGGCTGCAATGACTAAAGTTGGACCAGGCTGAAGTTAGGAACCCTATCCAGGTCTTCCATGTGGGTGGAGGGTCCCAGGGCTGAGGCCATCCTCTACTGCTTTCACAGATGCATAAGCAGAGTTGGATTGGAAGTGGAGCAGCTGGGACTCCAACTGGTGCCCACATGGAATGCCAGCATTGCAGGCGCAGCTTAATCCACTGATCCACAACACTGTTGCCCATAGGCATGGTTTTTGAAGTGAATGCACTACTCTCTTTGCTCTCCTAGAACGAATCCCTGCTCTCAAATGACCTTTCCTGATGATGATGATATCTATCTGCTTAGCTTCTACTTCTCGTAGAGGTTTTCAGCTCTGACTTCTCCTCCCTAAGACCCTCTTTGCCCTCATTCTGCATGAGTCACATACTCCTCCCAGGTGCTCCCTTGGCACATCATGGTTACTGCTTTTGTAGCATGCACTTCACTATATATTTTTTAAAAGATTTATTTATTTATTTGAAAGGTAGAGTTACAGAGAGACAAAGAGGTCTTCCATTGTGCTGGTTCACTCCCCAAATGGCCACAATGGCCGGAGCTGAGCCGATCCAAATCTGGGAGCCAGGAGCTTCTTCTGGGTCTTCCAAGAGGGTGCAGGGGCCCTAGGACTTGGGCCAACTTCTACTGCTTTCCCAGGCCACAGCAGAGAGCTGGATAAGAAGTGGAGCAACGGGGCCCGTGCCATGGCTCCTCTGCCTGCAGTGCTGGCATCCCATATGGGCACAGGGTTCTAGTCCTGGTTGCTTCTCTTCCAGTCCAGCTCTCTGCTGTGGCCTGGGAGGGCAGTGGAGGATGGCCCAAGTGCTTGGGTCCCTGCACCCGGATGGGAGACCAGAAAGAAGCACCTGACTCCTGGCTCTGGGTTGGTGTAGCACGTCGGCCGTAGCGGCCATTTGGGGAGTGAACCAATGGAAAGAAGACCTTTCTCTCTGTCTCCCTCTCTGTCTATAATTCCACCTATCCAAAAAAAAAAAAAAAAAAAAATAGGAGCAGCCTGGTCTTGAACCAGCGCCTATATGGGATGCCAGCACTGCAGGTGGTGGCTTCACCGGCTATGCCACAGCGCCAGCCTCGCACTTCCCTGTATTTCAAGATAATGATAC